AATCTAGCACCCTGAATAGTAGGATCCTTACTATAAGGACCCCATGGTAAGGTACCCCAAATTTTCGGAAACTCCATTTTGTGCTCCTTGAACGGAACCGACCCATTATAGAACCCTTGAAGGAATGCTTCAAGGAACCCTGAAACTGAACGCTTAAAGGTACACCATAAGGATTCCTTTAAGGGTTCCTTCAAGGGTACCATAAGGATTCCTTTAAGGGTTCCTTCAAGGGTACCATAAGGATTCCTTTAAGGGTTCCTTCAAGGGTACCGTAAGGGCTGATTTAGAGGAACCTTTAGGGGTCGTGGCAGGGCTTCAGGGTCACTCACAGAGAGTCCTAGGTTGGTTAGAGGCCTTTGGGCTCCTCCTCGGGGCTGCTTTAAAAGGTTCCTTGGGGTTCGGGGTTGAGGGTTCAGGGGTTTAGGGTTTAGGGGTTTAGGGGTTTCGGGGTTCAGGGTTTAGGGGTTTAGGGGTTCGGAGGTTTAGGGTTCCTTTAAGGCTTGGCTCAGGGCTTCCTGTGGGGGCTCCTTTCGCTGGAGCGGTTTTTCCTTTTTAGGGGTGTAGGGTTTGGTTGTAGGGTTTGGAAGTCTAGAGTTTCGAATTGAAAGGTTCAGCAGGCTGGCTAGGTTGGTCGTAGGAAGTGGTGCAACTAGAATAAGCCTTCTTTAGGCATTTATATAATGGAAGTACCCATGAGACCCGCTTGATGAGTCGCTGATCCTTTAACCTGGCTTTGGGGTCTTGTAAGTTCTAGGGCTTTCGAAGGCTCCACAAGGTCCAACGATTTCAGGATTATCGGTTTTAAGATTAAAGGTATACTATACCCCCCTAGAACCATAGTAAAGATGATATTGTCATCATTCCCTTGGGTTTTTTATATGCGCAGAAATTCAAAAAGGGATTCCTATGGAGCCTAAAGGTCATACGCTCTCACCTCGAAACCCCTCACGGGCCCAGTTTTCTAGTATCCGCCTTCCCAAAAAGCATTAGTTGGTGTGTTTGTACTAGTCAACACCCAGACCCAAACCCCCCCAAATCCTCAAGACAATAATCTGAAGCCGTAGGTCAGAGACCCCAATCATCCCCAAACCCTACCTGAACCCTCAACACGAAACGGTTCCGAGGACCCTGAACAGTCACAATGCTGCTCAAGCAGGTAGACCTTCAACATTCTCGAATAGTTGGGTCCCCAGAGCCTCTAAAACCCCTCAATTAAGGATTATACCTTACATCATTTAGGGGATCCCTAGTATGATTTAAGGCATATTCCTTACTTAAGGGTTTTTGGAGTCTCTGGGTCCATGCTACGGACCCCGAGCTAAGGCAAGGCAAGGCTTGTGTAAGCAAGTACACCCTACCTGGAAGTACATTGAGATGTTTTGCGGTTTTGGGAACAGGGCTTCGGCCCAGAAACTCCAAAACCCCTTGGTTAAGGAATACCTGAAATTATGATCGGATCCCTAATCTAATTTAAGGTATATATATTCCTTAATAAAGGGTTTTTGGAGACTCTTTGGAGGGTTTGGGGTCGAGGGTTTGAGGGCCCGGGGATGGGTTCCTTTTGGGAACAGCAGATGCAGAGCTTCAGCATTGCCTCTTCGGCATGCCATCATCGAAGCAGTGTCGTCGTTTCTTGTTTAAGTTCTTCTCGGTATCTGCGTCCAGCAGCTCGATGCAGCTTCGATTCGAAGCCAGCGTCAGCGCAGTGTCGCCGTCAAGGTTGGCTAAGTCCTTGTCGGCCCGGGCGTCCAGCAGCAGGATTAAAATACCCACCTGACCTCGTTCAGCAGCTCTCATCAAGGCAGTGTCGCCATTTATGTCTGCTGAATTCGTGTCTGCACCGGCCGTCAGTAGCAAATGCAAGATGTCAATGTGACCTTTCTCGGCAGCTAACATCAGCGCAGTGATGCCATTCTTGTTGCCTAAGTCCTTGTCGGCACCTGCCTCCAGGAGCCTTCGTAGAGTTTCTACGTGGCCTTGCTCAGAAGCGGCCATCAGCGCAGTATCGCCATCGATGTCGGCCAGATTTGTGTCGGCCTCGTGCTCCAATAGCAACAGTACAACTTCGACGCGGCCCTTCGCAGAAGCTAGCATGAGGGCACTGGTGTCAACATTGCTGGTCGCGTTCTTGTCAGCACCAGCTTCCAGCAGCAAGCGCACAGCTTCAATGCGACCTTGTTCAGAAGCTCTCATCAAGGCAGTCTCACCGTCAAAGTCCGTGTCGGCAAAATCTTTGTCGGCACCGGCCTCTAGCAGCAAACGCAGAACGTCAACATGGCCCACAGCTGAAGCTATCAGCAGGGCGGCGTTGTCGGTGTAGCTGTAGTCGGCACGAGCCTCTAGCAGCAAACGCACGACTTCCACGTGCCCTTGTCCAGAAGCGACCCTGAGAGCAGTGCTGCCGTAATCGTCGGTTAAGCTCGTGTCGGCGCCGGCCTCCAGCAACATACGTGCAACTTCGACGTGGCCTTGCGCAGAAGCCAACAATATGGCCGTGACACCCCCCTCGTCGATGAAATTGCAATCAGCGCCAGCCTCGAGAAGTAAATTCAGGACTTCAGCATGGCCATTCTTAGATGCCACCATAAACGGAGTTCTGCCACGAAAATCGACCACGTCGGGGTGCACGGGATGTTGCAGGATGACCTCAACCTGCAGGGCTTCCCATTACGCTCTATCAGCGATCTATACACCCGATGTCTGACTATGTATGTATCTATGTACGAATGCATGCATGCATGCATGCATGTATGTGTGTATGCGCGCTGTCTGCGTGTGCGTTGTCTGTATGTCTGTGTGCGTGCATGAATGTATGTTATGAATATGTGTGCATGTTTGTGTACGTATATCTTTGTTTGTTATATATGTATGTATGCCTACGTATGTGTAAGTCAACCTATGTAGCTGTATGAGGGTGTGTATGTGTATGTGTATGCGTATGTATGCATGCATGTGTGCGTTTGTGTGCACGTATGTGTATGTGTGTGTATATATATATATATATATGTGTGTGTGTGTGTGTGTGTTTGTATCTTTGTTTCAATGTGCGGCTGTCTGTCTGGCTGTATGTACGTATGTATTTACGTATGCATGTATGCATGCATGCATGTATGCATGCATGTATGTATGTATGTGTGTGTACATGGATGTATCTACGTATGCATGTTGTAAGATAGTAAGTACAGGTGCTGTTACATGTTACAAGAACGAATGAAGGATAATGCAGGCATTCGATGCTTGTCATAGCGACAGTGAGACCACAGGAGCTGCGGCAGTGGTAGCAACGGCAAATGTAATCAAAATCGTAAAGGTAATGGCAATGGCATTGGCGGTTAAGGGTAATAGCTGTGCACAAACAATAGCAATCACAATGCGGATACCAATATCCATGGCTGTGACCGAACATCGCAGCTATTGTTTGCAATTCAAAAAAATTAAATTATGCCAGCATCGATCCCCAAACATCACCACGACGATCATGACGACGACTGGAATCAGGAACCAGCACGCCACGAGGAGACCGCAAGGACACCACCAAGACGCCACAACCCAAAGGGTCCTAGTCCTAGGTCTACGTACTGTTGTGGGCGATACTTCCCCAACTCACCATAGTAACTCCTTATACAGAAACCCTGTATTCTACTATGTAGGTACTCCTGGACCCTTGGGCAAGGACCCAATTTTCCCACAAGCACACGCGGTTTCAGGAGCGCTGCCAACACCACTCCCGAGATGCTGGCGCAATTCCATAGGATTCCCGACCACCATGTTTGCCCCAAAGTACTGGCGCAATTCAGAAGTACCTTTCAAAGCCGGCTTCAGAGTTCTCGATGTGTCCCATGTATTGGAACTTACAATGAGTCTGGCGTCGCGGAACCCTGTGTCCAACCCCCGACTATGCAAACAAAATAATAGAATGCGATCGCAAGACATGTAGGAGTGGAGCGTGCCGCGGCGCTGACCAAGTCCCTATACACAGAACGTTACAACTCCATTTTGCGTACCACACCGTGTGCATGACTAGGAAGTAAATGCAATTTTAGAACCAGCAGATATGTATAGACCTACAGAGCTCTGTTGGTGACCAGTTCAATCAGTCACCTAGCACCAGCCTCAGATGCAGAGCCGATCTCCGCCGCATTCAGCAGTTGGCTGGCTTGCGCTTTGGAGGCGTCGGAATGGGCAAGCAGGACCAGCTCGAGGTCCATGGACGACTCCAGCTTGACGGAATCCTCTAAAGCATCTCCGCAAAATAGCAGTCTCTGCCTGAATCGTGAGGGAATTCCATGCAAGCGATGCAGCCTTTGCTTCAGTGCCCTCACCTCGCCCGACTCTGCCACAGGTATAGTTGCAACTTCTTGCCCAGACATCCCCCGGATGTGCAGCATTGCAACGGCGGAAGGCTGGATAGAACACTTGCGAGACAGCCGTCACCTACTTTAATGCGAAAAGCTTGCTCGCAGTCTTGCACAATTCCCGGCCGCAAGCAGGCATTAAGACTTCCACTGCGTTGGCGGCATGCTGTGGCATAAAACCGCATTCCGTGAACCCACTCCTGGGCTTGAGTTGCCGGCAGAGAACAGGGATACATGCAGCAAACAAAGGGTCATCACCCCTTATGTTCTCGGGCCTTGTGCTGCAGCTAGACCCTATACTTTAGGTACGGCCCCCATACACTAACAGTCTATAATAGGGCTACTACTAAGGGCCTAATATATCTATATTATGATTATTATCCAACTGTTACTGAGTGGGGGCAGCTTCTAACCTATACTGCATGATATGCATGCACGAGACTAATATCGCTGTCAGGGCTTCCTCAACAAGGACGAAGGAGTTTATGCCTCGATCTTGGAGCTTAAGACTCTTGGGTTTAGGGTTCAGGGTTGAGGGCTTACCTGGACCCTAAGGAACCTACCTTTTTAGGGTTCCCTAATATGATTTCTTTATATAAGTCCTTAAAAAGGTAGGTTACTTGGGGTTAAGGTAGTGTTTAGACCCTACAGGTCCTTCTTCTGATCCTCTGGGACGGCCCAGTCTGCCACCACTGCCTTCAGCGCGGACCGAAACGGAGTTCAGGGCAGGACGCAAGAGTCTAAGAGAAGCCCGACATCCGTCGACAAGAACCCATCAGCTTCATTACTCGGATTTAGTTGAAGAGTGCTGTCTAATAATCTCACAATGCGCCAGAGGATTTTGGGTTTGTTCGGTCAACCACTTTGAACGCCACAAACCCTAAGCTCTAAATTAGCCTTAACCCGATATACTGAACCCTGAACCCTATGAACCCCAAACCCTAAAAGCAGAAGGGTAGCCGGGGTCCGACAAGGAGTGTGAAACACTTCAAAACCTGTCCAAGTTTCGGGGATTCCAAACCAAGTCTACAGCACCCAGCAGTATCCTATAGCATGTTATCGTATCTTATGAGAACCTACATAAATTTTGTGACAATATACTATATATATATATATGGTGTATAACATAGGTTATGGTGCACTATGGAATACGGTAGAATACATCGGCAGGAAAACAGTTTCGTCGCACTCGCCTACCCTATCATGCGGAGGATGCAGAGCTATGCAGAGTGCCAGAAAGTGCATTATACGTGGCCTGGCTAGCGGAGGAATTACTCCACGGGAATAAAATTCTACTACTACAATGTTCCTGGCGGAGGACTCGGTGGAGGAGTCTAAGGGGGAAAGGAGTTTGCAAGGTGTTCAAAGGAAACATGCTGGAGCACGACGCACTTTCTTCCTGCCGCATTGTAGTATAGTGTAGCATTTGAGATCTGGTAAGGTTTTGAGATTTGGGTTTCCGGCTGGTGGATCTCAAGGGTTCACAGGATGTGTTTGTGGATGGTTTCTGGACTTTGATACCTAATAACAGTGTTCTTCGATGGCCTTACACCCGAAACCTTAAACCCAAAACCCAAACCCTAAACCCTGAACCCTACCCTTAGACCCCAAATATAAACCTTCTGGTTACCGGGGCTCCAGCCCGAACCCGCACGTACAGTGGATAGGAGGTCGGAGCCACGGGCACCTGGCGGAGCCATTAAGACTCAAACTCCAGTCGACTGCAAGGGTTCCTTAAAGGGATCCTTAAAGGGTTCCTTAAAGAGATCTATAAGGGGTTTAGGGGTTAGGGTTTAGAGTTTGGGGACTGCAGGACACTATCCTACGGGTCCCATGGACCCAATAATTAGGTACGCGGTTGTAGGACAGTAGTTATGCCGATTAGTATTTTGCAGAGTTTATGCTTATGAGTTAGGGGCTGAGTATCCTCGCCCAAAAATGGTTAACCTTTGTGAGTTATGGTAGGTTGTTATCACCCCAAAAGGTTACAGGTTACCTACTCAGCTACTAAGCTATATCTCGACTGCTGAACCCCAAATGGTGAAGCCAGTCCTGAAAGCATGTAAAAGTTCAGGGTGTAGAGTTTAGAGCATAAAGCGAAGGGTTACATGAAGTACTTTACACCCTCCAGAATCCCACACCCCAAAACATAGGCCCTTCCCAAAACCTTAAGACTTTTCGCCTTTCATCCCCGGGCCGTCGATGTTCTACGTTTGGGATGTGGGGGGGGGGGGTTAAGAATCCACTTCCTTGAGGACTTAAGGCTTGGAGTTCAGGGATTCGGTGGTTCCTGATGAACTTGAGGACATAGGGTGTTGTGGGGTCAGGTCTGAGGCACAGAAAGCATCATCAGCCCTAAGCCCTGAACTCGAAACCTTGTTTCAGGATCCGAGGCTTGAGAACCCTTAAAAGAACCCGCGAAGCTTTAAAGGAACCATTAAATGAGCCCTTGTAGCCTTAAAGGAACCCTTAAAGGAGCCTTAAAGGAACCCTTAAAGGAGCCTTAAAGGAACCCCTAAAGGAGCCTTAAAGGAACGCTTAATTACCGCCTTAAGGGAAGCCTTAAAGCCTGAGCGGAACCCTTAAGGAACCCCGGACTTCAGATCCTTTTCAGCCCGAAACCCCTAAACCCTAAACCCCTAAATCCCAACCCTAAACCCTAAACCCCTAAATCCCAACCCTAAACCCCTAAACCCTAAACCCTTAAACCCTCAACCCCTAAACCCCTAAATCCCTAAGCCCCTAAACCCCTAATCCCTAAACCTTCAAACCCTTAAGCCCTTAAACCCTAAACCCCTAACCCCCCCCCCCCCCCCGCCCCTCCCCCCTGAAATGCCTGCGCTCCTCTGGAGGACTCGTCCATGCTGCTCGAGCCTCGGTATCTGCGTCTTAAAGGGTTCCTAAAAGGGTTCCTCTAAATAGGAGATCTATAGGTGATATTCGGATTTTTTTGGGGGGGAGGCCATAAAAGATCTCTGGGGGATACTATAATTTATAAGGGTTTCTTTAAAATAAAGGACAATGCAGGGACCTGATGTTTTGTAGGGTTCCTTTAAAGGGTTCCTTCAAGTTAGGGCATCTATAGGGGAATATTAGGGTTCTTGCAAAAGGGAGCCATAAAAGATCTCAAGGGTATACTATGAGGGTTCCTTGTAAATACAGGATAATGTAGGGACCTGATTTTTGTAGGGGTTCCTTTAAAGGGTTCCTTTAAATTAGGGCATCTATAGGGGAATATTGGTGTTCTTTTACAGGGAGCCATAAAAGATCTCTAGGGGATACTATGAGGGTTCCTCGAAATTAAAGATAATGCAGGAACCTGATTCTTTGTAGGGTTCCTTAAAAAGGGGTTTATAAGGGTTCCTATGATAATAAGGCTACCATAATAGTGCAGGAAGCTGATATTTTGTAGGGTTACTTGAAAGGGGTCTATAAAGGTTCCTATAAGGGATCTGTAGTAAGGCTACCATACTCGTGTGGGAACCTGATGTTTATGTAGGGTTCCGTTAAAGGGGTCTATAAGGGTTACTACAAGGGATCTATAGGGGTACTATATTAATGAAGGGAACCTGGTGAAGAAACCCGGGGGCTAGAAAGCCAAAATAGTAGGACTCAGATAAGAAACCCTAACAAAGGCCCAAGGCTTTTTCATCAGGTTCGTACACTACCTTTAAATAGGAGGTCTATAGGTCAGGGCCCCCGGCTCTGTGTGCCGGCCTCTTCCCGGCTCTGCATGGCAAGGCCCATGGTGGAGGCCTGGCGAGCCTGCATTTGAGGGCTCGACAGGGGTTTAGGGGTTAGGGTTTAGGGGTTTAGGGCTCTAGGGGTTGAGGGGTTTAGGGGTTTGATTAGGGGTTTGGGAGTTTGGGGTCTAGGGTTTTAGAGTAGTAGGGATTCTGGCATTAAGGCGCTTCAGGAAAGGGAGTCTATCACTCAGGTCTACATTACAAGTCAATCCTTAGGGTCTGCTTTGCTTGCAATATGTCGCTCTCCGAATCTTGCGAGGGTTCATATTTCGAAGAAACCTGGAACCCAAAACCCGAAACAAAAGCTGCATCTGGAAATCGCACCAAAACCCAAGCCCTAAACTCTAACCTGAAACCCTGAAAGCTGGGTTTGCGCCAGCCTGCCGAGGGGACATGATCGGGATGTGAGACCTGGGCTCAGGAGTGTTTTTTTTAAACAGTGTTTTTGGGTTTTGTTGTTGGTTCAACTAAACTATCTGGGGTTTAGTGTTTCGGGGTTTGGGGATTATAGGGGGTTGGGGTTTGGGGGCTTAGGGGTTTTAGGTGTTGGGTCTTTAAGGAAAAGCGCTTTGGGACTGTTAAGGCTGAGGGAAAGGAGTCCTGGCTATTTCGGGCAGGAGCAACTTTTGATACTCCGTTTAGGGTTTAGGGCTTTTGGGGTTTAGAGTTTAGGGCTTTCGGGGTTTAGGGTTTAGGGCTTTTGGGCTTAGGGTTTAGGGCTTTGGGGGTTTAGGGCTTAGGGCTTTTGGGGTTTAGGGTTTAGGGCTTTTGGGGTTTAGGGTTTAGGGTTTCATATTCCGAATGCCTCCCCCTAGTGGAAGTCATGATGTTTGACATGAGCATCGCGCAGCCCAAAAACCCAGAAGCAGGCGGAACCTACCTGATTGGGGTCGAAGCACCATGGACCATGACCCTTCGGGTGTAGGGTTGAAGTCATCCTTCATGTAAGAAACTGATTAAGAAACCCTGGCCCTATTATAACACCAAAATAGTAGGATTTATGCGAGGAACCCTATTAAAACCCAGGGTTTCTTAATCGGGTTCCAAATTATTAGTAAGAAACCATACCTTCCCAGCCCTGAAAGCGAATCACTCCGGGTCTGCGGCGAGAGCATGGAGGTACGGTGCAAGTTCTGATTCCTCGGATGCGGGAGAACTGGAACTCTGAACCTCACGGGCAAAAAGACCTTGCGCCGTGGCAGCCAGTCAGATCATGCTTCACTCACCGGCATCCTCGCAACTGCCCTACTACTAACTTAACCCTATCTATACTATAAACCAACCCTGAGCCCCAAACCATGAACTCTTGAGCCGGGACTAATAAAACAACTTGGTTTAGGGTTCATATCATATACGATACATGTACTCTCATGTACCTTAACGTACTAGTTATGTGCTATGGTACATTATGGCATACGGATTTAGGGCAGCACTGCCAGAACCACGCATCCTCTCCAAAACCACAAAGAGAGGGTCATACCATGCCCTCTTTATAAGGTTTAAAGTGTTTAAAGTACCTAATTCGATGGCAATGTAGAAAGACAATCCAGAAAGCGGGTATGGTTTGACCTTATAGGAAAAATCTTGCATTACGGTTGAGAAGGAATGTACCGATGTACCATGATGTCGATAGCTTAGGCACCACAATCATCATCATCGACGTCAGCATCATGACTTTCATCTGGATGGTCGTCACCGCTGTCGTCCGCGTTGTCGTCAGTGTTACCACAACCCGCAACATCATAATAACATGTTCACCTCCGCCTCATCATCCGTATGTTGGCAGCAGCAGCGACAGATACAACAGCAGCAAGAGGCGCAAAGACACAGGAGCTGCAACGGTAGCAGCAGCAGCAGCAGCAGCAGCAGCAGCACCCCAAAACCAAATGCTCGAATGCTGTTACTACTACTACTACTACTACTACTACTACTACTACTACTACTACTACTACTACTACTACTACTACTACTACTACTACTACTACTACTACTACTACTACTACTACTACTACTACTACTATTACTCCTACTGCTACTGCTACTGCTACTGCTACTGCTCCTGCTCCTGCTCCTGCTCCTGCTACTGCTACTGCTCCTGCTACTGCTCCTGCTACTGCTACTGCTACTGCTACTGCTACTGCTACTGCTACTGCTGCTGCTACTACTACTACTACTACTACTACTACTACTACTACTGCAACTACTACTACTGCTACTGCTCTGCTACTGCTACTGCTACTGCTACTGCTACTGCTACTGCTACTGCTACTACTACTACTACTACTACTACTACTACTACCAGACCAGTAGCAGGAACTTCTGACCCGCCGCCGTGGACATCAGGTGCCGGAACCTGCTCCAATGAAGGTTGGAGTTCAGGGTTTGGGGCCTTTCCCTAAGACTCCAACCAGCCCAAAGTAGGTAGTATTTATAGACTTTAGACCGCAAAGTAGGTAGTATTTGCACACTTGGAGTCTTAGGGTTTCGAAATTTCATAGATGACTCCATTTGGCTCCTCCTTTTTACGTGTTGGAGGGGGTCGCAGTTTCAAATTTCACAGTGTCTACCTTTTGTAGCGCTTTCGGTTACCTGCTTAGATCTACCGATGGCAAGACCGTTCCACATTGGATGTGCTCATTCTTTCGGTCATGCTCGGGTACTGTACCAGGGATACGAAAATTCAACATGCCTCGAACGCAGTTCCTGCGAGCGAGAGGCGGACAGCGGGAGAATGACTGAGCTTCATTAAAGAAAAGCTCCTGTTGATGGACCCATCAGAGCCCAAAGGGTCCAAAGTACCTATATAGTAGAACGTCGGGTTTCTGTACTAGGATCTACTTTTGTAATTTGGGGAAGTCTCCCACATAATAGTACCTGGGACCCTTTGGGGAGTGAAACCAAAAGAGAAGACCCAGGAAAACACGGGATGTGCTGCATGTCGAGGTATAGCCCGAAGGGTCCAAAGGACCCAAAAATTTGGTATTCCGGTTTAGGACAACAGCTATGTAGCTCAATGAATTAGGAGGGTATATTCTTAAGTACTTGGAGCCTTAGGGTAGGTTTAGAACTCTCTTCTTCAACAACCGCGCCCCAAAAAGTTCAAACTTTCGAATATAGAGCTAATATATAAGGCCAAAAAGTTTAAAGTTCCCCCGTTCACTATCTAAGAGAAGCTTTCCTGATGTAACTTACCGCAGTTCGATTGGCCCTGCCTGGAGACGGTGAGGCGGTTGGCAACAGAGATGTGCACCTGCGCGGTTTAGGGTGGATGATTTATTTTTAAAGTGCAATGGCTTCTTTCTGTGCTTCGCGAACGATGCTGCAGGCTAAAGCCTGCCTCCAGATGGGGCTTACACTAGGGTGGATGATTTAGATTTAAGGCTTAGAGTGTAGGGTTTAAGGCTTTGGACTTCGATTCATGTTGCGGGGAACTTCCCTGTTCCATGCTTTTGTACCAGTTGATTTATACTGGCCACGTGATTTCATTCTCACATGCGGTGGCAACCTCTGCTAGTATTTCTGTTTTACGTATAGTTAAGGTTATGAGTACCCCAATTGGAGTTACAAGTAATTGTGAATGCAAGTAGACTTGCCTTGTTAAAAACCCAGGCAACTACAGTAGAAGCCAGAGAGTTGGAATATCATTATCGTAACCCCTTTAAGGTAAATTATCGGGGATCCTACCATTAATCCATATTCCAACTTTCGGGAGTTCCCTGTAAGTCCCATGATCCTCCAAATATTGCAAGGCCGAGGCAAATTGAAGCGGCCGAGATCGAAGCTCCCAGCCCGAAACCCTGAGCCCTGAACCCTACAAGCCCTTAGAAAAGACCGAAAGGGAACTCCAGAAAGTTGGAATATGGTTTCGGGGTAGGATACCCTATAATTTACCATAAAGGGTTTAGGATAAATCATATTCCAACTTTCTGGTTTTTCTATAAATCCTGAACCCTAGAAGTGCTTGAAGACCTAAGTCCTAAACCTACAAGCCCTAAAAGGACACATGAAGAAGAACCCGTTGAGTCAGCACAAGTCGAACCCCGAAGATTTCGATGAAGAGAGAGGAACTCTTTCGAGATGCGCTTCGGCTCCTTTTGAAGGGGCAGCTGCAACCTACCCTGAGCAGCTACTTCATGGCCAGAATCTTAAATCCAGCAAACTCAGGACAGGCACGGGCGCACAATGCCAACGATGAAACATGATGGCCCTGGTGAGGTCAGAACTAAGGCACTAGCCGTACGTACTCTGTACAAAAACTCCTCAAGTCTTTAAATAAGACCGTAGCGATCATCCTAACCAGTGCAGCGACCAACATATGGGTAGTTGTCAAAATTATGGCCCCTTTTGGGGGTACCCCAAATATTAGGTGCCGTATTATAATAAGGACCCAAGAAGGGACCATAGTTTTGACAACCACCCGTATGACGAGGCCGTGACCACCAGACTGAACCCCGGTAGGACGAGAAATTCGCCAACCCCTTGAAGCCCAAATCCTGAACATGGTTTCAGGTTTAGGGTCTACCTAACCCTGAATGTCCTACCTTTCTAAGGACTTATATAAGGGAATCACAATAGGGAACCCTAAGAAGGTAGGTTCTTTAGGGTCCAGGTGGTGCTTAAAATCGGCACCCGAACCTGCAAAATCGAAGCTCGGAACACCTGTCTGCTCCTGAAAACCAGCACCCCGAAGGACTCAAAAAGCACCAGAACATAGCGGCCTTAATAGTTAGAAGGGTTTAGGGTTTAGGGTTTAGGTTTTAGGGTTTAGGGTTTAGGGTTTAGGTTTTAGGGTTTAGGGTTTAGGGTTTAGGGTTAGAAGGTTCCTTAAAGGGATCTAAAGTAGGGTTCTATAGCACAGGGGCCTTAATGATTAGAATAGGGTTTTGGGGGGCCAATTACACTATAAGAATAATGGGGTGCCCCTCAAAATAGTACCTGTAACTATTTAATCCCTATAATAGGTCACCCAAGCTGGGCCCTATGGTGCTGAAATTCTTCAACCCACCAACGGAGGGGCTGAGAACCATAGCCCAACAAGGTACAACTTCTGAGTTATGCTAAGACTCTGTGGGTGATACATTTAGGGCTTAGGCCTTAGGGGCCCCGTGTGGTTGAAGGTTTCCTGCCTAGCCCGTACTCTGAATAAATCGCAAAATTCACCTCAAGCCATGAACCCTAAACTTATCGTTAAACTCTAAATCTTAACCCTCTACCATAAACGCCAAACCCGTCTGAGTCCAAGGGCCTGCGCATTCGGACCCCGACCAGTTCGCCTTAGCCACAGAATTGTCTGAGCAGGTCTTGCTTTTGTCCGGGGGGCGCCGGGTTCAGGGTCTAGGGGCAACTTTTTCCAAGAACCTCCAGAACCACTTCATTAAGAAATATACCTGAAATTACATCAGGATCCCTTATTCTATGGTTTAAGGTGTACTCCTTAGTTAAGAGGTTGTGAAGGCCGTGGATTCTTGACGAAATCAATATCACCCACGGTGGGGCCTTTTGGGCTGGAGGAGTCTGGCATCCACGTCAGGGTTTAGCGGTGAGGGACAGGAGTTCAGATTGTTACAAGTTAGGGCTTTTTGATACCCAAAGGGTCCGAGTAACCATATAGTATATACTTTGGGGTACTAAGTACCGACTATACTGGTACTTGGACCCTTTGGGAAAGGGATCCATGTGATAGTGGCGATGCTCATGCTGAAGCTGTGGTTTAACAACTACATGCTAGCCTTCGCTGCCACTGCATTTGACTCGCGATTAGTGACAAGGCCCAGGCGTGGGTTCGTGAATATGCTCCGCATGGTAGGCGAAGTACTCGACTTGCTCTCTTGAGTCCTGCAGCACCGCAAGTGTCATTGGAGGGGGCTTCCGAGAAGTCCTACTTGCAGTGGTGCACTATACCCTAAATCTAAACCCCTAAACATAGGAACTGAATGATTAGCCAATTAGCAATAGTCTTTCCTCATTCCCTAGGGTTCCCGCATATGTACCTCCTTCTATGCCCCACAAACCCCATTCTAGTTACGAAGGCCCCTGCCTTGCGCTAATTTGAGACGGGGGTTACAATGTAGTTCCTCTTGCGGGTACACCAGTTCAATCAAAGCACAGAACCACCTGAGACTTCTCACTGAAAACTGAACTATATAGATAACGACTATCCCCTAAAGGAACCCCTAACGATCCCCATGAACGCTTGAAGGCTGCCCTTAAAGAAAACAGGGCAAGAGTGACTCCGACTCTCGGAGACCTCGTGAGACTCGGTGATGGACTGCTGACCATAGGCACCTCATCTCTCATATTGGGGTTTAGACTCTAGGGGTCTAGGGTTTTTGTTTAGGTGAGGGTTCAGTTTTTCATCTCTTATGTTGCGGGAGCTCCCTCTTCCCTGTGACCCCAGCCATAGCCTAATTCTTCCTACCCCCATATTACGTATGCTTAGTACACGTAGCATGACATGATTGATACTCCACTTGCGAAATTTCCTGACCCTCTATGTGAACTCCCCGCCAAACACCAGACCACGCAGTAAGTTTCCGGCTGATGTGGGTCCAGTCGAGGTAGCAAGCGATCTGGCAAGAATTGCAGCGACACCCTGAACGTCCAGCCTTTCCTAAACCGAGCTTATCTGGCTTCCCCAGTAACCCCCCTAGCAACAAAGGTACATACCCACTTGCGGTTTTATAATAGCCCGGTGTAAATATTTTTTATCCCTGAATGTTGTTATCGTGCTGAATTTTCTTCTGATCGTTTTACCACGAAAAATGCGTTATCGTTTTGTTATTTTTCCACGGAAGACCATCAAAACCGTACACGGACATATCAAGACTAAGCTTAACAGCAGGGGGTTTATGATGCAGTCCCACTTTATAAAAGGAGACCCTAAACTAGAAAAGGCAACAGGGTACTACTTGGGAGATCTGGTTATCACATCCTTCGCTTTAGGGCCATAACAACGGTAATACGGTTTCGGAAGATATTACTATGACTACACTAAGGAACCCAGAACGGTACTCGTAGTCAGCCAGGCTTCTATATTGCCAAGAAGGTCCGTATACACTACTAGCATGGAATTACGACCCAAAAACCATGATGGCTTTTGGGACCTAACTCCAAAATGGTAGCGTATATCGGCCCTCTATACTATGCTTTTGAAACCAAACTCTTGTGAGGAAGCCGGGGATCGAATTACAAACGCAAACTAAACCTGTAGCCGGATCCCTACAAGACCTCAGACGATTCGGGGAATCAGCAGCTTGGGTGTAGAGTTTGAGGTTTAGGATTCTAGGTTTAGAGTTTAAGGTCGCGCTGTGATTACTGGGCATGGCCAGGGCCACATCTCTCGTTCCGGTAGCATCCCATCCCAGTGACACAGGGTATGTAGTTTACTGGGTTTACCCTGTGTGCAGGCCTGGCCACTGGTCACCTGAGGTCCTCAACGGCAGAAGAAACAAGGCAAGTGCATCCAAATATCCGGAATCCCATCAAAACCCCAAGCCCAAACCCAATTGTCTTTTCTTGCCCGCGGCGCTTCCGTTTCGAAATCCAGGCTCCTTGCCTTAGACTTACGGCAATGCTAACATCCGATCCTCCGATGTATGTAAACCTTGGGTGGAGCCATAAAGCGTCAACTCAAATGCCAGCGTTCGTAGAACCCTTTACAGTTTGTCACTGCAGCCTCCCAAAACACTCTGTCTGATGGCGCCCTGAGTGAGCGACTATAGTAAGCACACCCTCCTCTGCCATTTAAACGTAAAGACCCTTGAGGGAAACCGCATTTCACAATTCTTGTCAACCTTAATTTGAGCCCCAAACCCTACACAATGCTAGGCTATGAGCCCTTCATCATAGGGTATGACGCCTAAGCCCTAAACCCTGATCCCTAAACGCTACTAATCCTTGCCGTAGCGAGCCTCACCACTCAGATCGATCGGCTCGTCGCAGCACAGCCGGAAGATGATGATGCAGTGAGACCTGCCATGCGGAAGGGTGGGGGTTAGGGCTACCATATTTTGGGGTCCTTATAATAAGGATCCTACTAGTTAGGCCATGCAGAAGCGTGGGGGTTGGGGCTGCCATATTTTGGGGTCCGTACCTTATAATAAGGATCCTACTATTTAAGGGTAGTGCATTAGGGTTTTTCTATATTCGGAAACCCCCATGTGGAAGGTTGAGGTCTGGGGCTTAGGGCTTAGGGGTTTTCTAGGACTTATGGGCACGTAGCAGAGCGGGGCGGGGTTTCACGGTTCAGGGGCTTAGAAGATTTAGGCTTTTTTTCATGCAATGGCACTTTCTCCAAAGGTCCTGTGCCCATCTCTTAAGAGAAAGTTCACCTGGTGTGGACTGAGCTACTTCAAACAGGCCAAACCGGCAAATCCTGACCCTGACACTTGAAAGAAGCAGGGACAATCAGCAACAACGACACAGCTATTGCATGGCAAGCAGTAGGGCTTAGGGTTCAGGGGTTTAGGAGACTTAGCGATTCTAGCGCTTTGGGCTTAGGGTTTGAGGGCTTAGGGTGATAGTCCTTGTCCCTACCATCACGGCTCAATTCTTACTTGGGTGGTTGTCAAAATTATGATCCTTTTTGGGTACCCTAAAACTTAGGTGCCGGACTGCATTAGGGACCCAGACAGGGACCGTAATATTGACAGCCACCCACTTCTTTTCCTGAAGCCCGAAATCCAAAAACAACCGAGGCTGCAAGTTGGGCTATTGTAGGAGCCTTAATAATTGGGAGTTTCCGAAAATTAAGGGCACCTTACTTTGGGGATTCTTATAATAAGGGTCCTACTATTTAGGGTAATATATTAGGGTCCCCTGTTTTCGGAAACTCCCAATTAGAATAGGGTTTGGGGGTTTACTTATTATGGTATACCCCCAAACCCTATTCTAGTTAGTAAGGAACCTACATTATGCATCCCCGTGGGCTACATTTCGAGACTCGAAGATAAGGACCGGAAGAAGGAAGAAAGGCAACAATTAGAAGCTGCCCCCACCCTGTAATAGTGACTATAAGGACTATAAGGATTATATTAGGGCCCTATTATATCACCATTATAGGGTGGGGGCCCCTTCTAACGCAACAACTGCAAACCCTCTAGCATTGAGATGCGTCTTTCCTGCTTTCCTGCTGCTCCCGTCATTCAAGCTCAGGAGTTGGGGGTTGATGAGGTTATTTCCCATATAGCCCGCATCCAACAGCCCTACACCCTAATCCCCAGACCCTAAAATGTGGATTCTGCCCGGTGAGGGGGAGGGGGAAACCAGCGGCCCCTGACTTAGTGACTTAGGGCTTAGGGATCTGCACACTATGTTACTATGCGTCCCAGAATGGTTGCTTTAACAGAGGGCTACTATAGGATTCCTGCATGGGTTCCTTTACGGGATTTTGCTGGATTGACGGATTATCCAGAGAAAAAAAAGCCTACGTAACCCTGCGGCTCTGACCAGAGCCCCGAAGCTCTGACATTCGAAAAGCAATAAATCGAAGCCCAAAGACTATCGAAAACACCGGTAGTAATAGTAATAATAATAACAATAGTAATGATAGTAACAGTAGTCTCACTGGCCCAAAGCCCAAGGAAATAAAAGTTGAAACTTTCAGAATCCACTACGTTATAAGAAACCCAAAAGTTGAAAAGTTGAGTTTACAGCCAATAAGTAGTAATGTTAGTAATAGTAATGATCCCCTACATAAACCCTAAGCCCCAAAACCCTACCTCCTACAGCCTTATCCTTGCGGAACCTCTTGAAAATGCTGTGTGAGCTTAGCCTATCGGTTGAGGCCCCACCAGAGTTGAAAACCCCCCAAAAAAGACACCCTAAAGCCCTCAGGCTCGAAACCCCAAACCCCTAAAACCTTTACCGGCTCGAAACCCCACACCCTAAAACCCCTAAACCCTAAACCCCTAAACCCCAAACCCTAAACCGTTTCACCCCTCTCGAAACCCCACACCCCAAACCCCTAAACCCCGAAACCCTACACCTTGAACCCCTAAACCCCTAAAACCCCTAAACCCCTAAACCCCTAAACCTCAAACCCCCAAACCCCTAAACCCCCTTTCCGCCGGCTCGAAACTCGCCAGATCGGCCCTGGGGATAGTTCGCCCATGCTCGGCTCGATCTCCAGCTCGTGCTCGAAGCGGAAGAGCTTATGTGCATCCCACCTGAGCCACAGGCGAAAGGTTTAGGGTTTAGGCTTTAGGGTTGAGGGGTTAGGGTTTAGGGTTTAGGCGGTTTAGGGTTTAGGGGAAATCAGTGCATCCCACCTGAGCCGCACACAGAGACTCCAAAACCCATTAATCAAGGAACTTACATTGGATTCTGAACGACACGAGCCCTAATATGATTTTTGGTATATTCCTTTTTGAAGGGTTTTGGAGTCTCTGGGCAGGCCAACGGTTTAGGGCTTTAGAGCTTCTACGTTTAGGGGTTTTGTGGGTTCAGGGTTTAGGGTGCATCCCACCTGACCCACCCACAGAGACTCCAAAACACCTTAATCAAGGAATTTGCCTTAAACTAAAATGGGATCCCTCATATGATGTAAGGTATATTCCTTAATCAAGGGTTTTGGAGTCTCTGGGCAGGCCAAGGGTTTAGGGCTTCAGAGCTTTTGCGTTTCGGCAGTTTGGGGGGGTTTAGGGTTTAGCGTGTTGGAGTCTAGGGCGTTTCGAGTTTAGGCTTCAGGCTTTAGGGCGCCACCTGTGTGCTTAAGGTGCCTGAGAACATCATGCAGCACGGACCTTCTGCCCAAGTCCCGAAAACCCCAAAATCCTAAACCCCAACACCCCGAAACCCCGAAGCGGGTAATCTGAAGCCTAACTTCTTTGCTTCAGCCTTCAACCCTGCAACGCAAGAAGCTCCGCCTAAAGCCAAGGACGAAGTCCGAGGTGTAGTTGACGAGGATCAACCTTGGGCTCTTTGAGGTTTGGGGCTTTGGGTTTAGGGGGCGGGGTTTAGGGTCTGGGGTTTGGGGTTTGGGGTCTTTTTTTTGAGGTTTGGGGCTTTGGGTTTAGGGGGCGGGGTTCAGGGTCTGGGGTTTGGGGTTTGGGGTCTTTTTTTTGAGGTTTGGGGCTTTGGGTTTAGGGGGCGGGGTTCAGGGTCTGGGGTTTGGGGTTTGGGGTCTTTTTTTTGAGGTTTGGGGCTTTGGGTTTAGGGGGCTGGGTTCAGGGTCTGGGGTTTGGGGTCTTTTTTTTGAGGTTTGGGGCTTTGGGTTTAGGGGCGTGGGGTTCAGGGGCTTTGGGGTTTTTGAGGTTTGGGGCTTTGGGTTTGCTGGGTTCAGGGGTCTGGGGCTTTGGGTTTAGGGGGTGGGGTTCAGTTTAGGGCTTAGGGTATAGAGAACCAGCTCGGGCCCAGGGTTTAACATGGGGGGCGGGGCCTTCAGCATGAGATCTAGTAGTAGTCGCCGTCGTTGTCATAGCAGTAGTAGTAATAGTAGTATAGTATATAGTAGTAGTAGTAGTAGTAGTAGTAGTAGTAGTAGTAGTAGCAGTAGTAGTAGTAGTAGTAGTAGTAGTAGTAGTAGTAGTAGTGTAGTAGTAGTAGTAGTAGTAGTAGCAGTAGCAGTAGCAGTAGCAGTAGCAGTAGCAGTAGCAGTAGTAGTAGTAGTAGTAGTAGTAGTAGTAGTAGTAGCAGCAGCAGCAGCAGGAGCAGGAGTAGAGGTAGTAGTAGTAGTAGTAGTAGTAGTAGTAGTAGTAGTAGTAGTAGTAGTAGTAGTAGTAGTAGTAGTAGTAGTAGTAGTAGTAGTAGCAGTAGTAGTAGTAGTAGTAGCAGCAGCAGCAGGAGTAGAGGTAGTAGTAGTAGTAGTAGTAGTAGTAGTAGTAGTAGTAGTAGTAGTAGTAGTAGTAGTAGTAGTAGTAGTACTAGGAGTCGTCATCGTCGTCATCGACGTCATCGCCGTGGCAGTAGTAGGAGGAGGTGGAGTTGTGGCAGTCGGGGTGGTAGGGATAGTGTTGGTAGTATGGGGTGTCGGGGTGGTAGGAGCAACAGGAATCGTAGCAGCCAAGTAACAGCAAAGGATGAAGGCTTCTGGCCCATTAAACTAGGGTATGTTGTGTAAGTTCGCAAGATGTGCAAGCCCGAACCCCAAAACCCATGAACCGCATGTCCAGAAACACCTAACCCCCAAAACGCGCACAGCACATCCCCTATGGCGAGCCTTCTCGCAACCCTTATTATGCAACCAAACACCCCGTAAAGGAACCGAACAACTCGAAACAACTATCTTGAGGCTCTTAGACCGTATGCCCCAGGTATATATACTTCAAACCCATAGCAAAAAAACATCAGCACCGATAAGCCACTGAAGCCGATAAGTTCAGCTCTGAAAACCGCCGACCCGCCTAAACCATAAACCTCAAACCCCCAAATCCTAACAACCTAGCGCCTCCTCACTGGCCCAAAGCCTGAGGAAATAAAAGTTGAAACTTTCAGAATCCACTACCTTATAAGAACCCCAAAAGTTGAAAAGTTGAGTCTGCAGCCAATAAGCCTCATAAAGCCCCAGACCCTGAAGCCCAAAACGCCCAAACTCCTGACGCCCTAAAAACTTGCCACCCTAAATCCTGCAGAGCAGGCTCAGATCTAAACTCTTACCTCTAAACCCTAATCCCTAAACCCTAAACTCTCAACCGTAAACCCTAAACTCTAGACTCTACACCCTGAACTCTAAACCCTAAGCTCTAAACCTTGAATTCTGGGTTCCCTGCATCTGAGAATGCCGGGCTCTAAGAGGCACCTGCTTGAAGTCCAAGATCTCGATCTCGGCAGGGGCTTAGAGTCGAAAGAGTGAAATTGTTAAGGGTTCTAAGGGTTCCTCTAAGGGTTCCGCTGAGTAAGGTTTATGGATCTTGGGTTTATAGGGCTTAGAGTTGAAGAAGAGTTCCTTTAAGCCTTCCTCTTCGGATTCTTTTGAGGGCTCCCTTGGAGGGTTCTACAAGGGTGCAACTAAGGTTTAGGGATCTTGGGGTTGGGGTTTAGAGTTGAAAGTGTAGAAGGTTGGGGTTTGGAAGACATACAACTGAAGGCTTAGAAGGTTGGGGTTTAATTACCCTAAGGGTCCAAGTACCCAAATAGTAGGGTTTCAAGGTCCAAAGACCATTCAGGGCATGGATTTGGGGATCTAAAACCCTACTATTTGGGTACTTGGACCCTCTGGGTTAGTTTTGAGGGTGTAGAAGGCTAGGGTTTAGGAAATCATGCTCTAGGGGTTTATGGATAAGTCCAGGGCTTCGGTCTTTTGGTGTTCTAGGGCTTAGGATCCTGGAGTTTGGGGTTTGGCGTCTATGGTGTTATTTAGGGGGCATAGGGGTCAGGGTGTAATTTAGGGTAAGACCTCATAAAAATATGTTGCTGAATATTCTCTTGGGTTTTGTATGAACAGAAGTAACAAACCATGGCTCCTAAGGAGGCTATTGGTCAAAATCCTGCGTCGTCAGGCCCGAACCGACAAAGCCGCCCCTCCGCCGGGAACCGGCCTCGCAGGCGCTTAGGGTTTGGGCTCCGGGTGAGAAAGAGCACGTGTTAGGGTTTAGAGTTTAGGGTCCAGCGTTTGAGTGCAGGTTTCAGGAGTGGCTTCAGTAGCCTACTGCTGCCCTTCTGTATAGACTTGCTCTTGTCTAAATTTGGGAGATATATGATATTCATGGCGAAAAGTCTGAACACTCAATCGCCTGAACTGTCTGCCAGAAGACCTGAAATGTCTCGTCCGCGGGAGTGCGTCTCTCCAGTCTGCGTTGCAAGATCGAACATAACGGCCTTCATGATTAGAGTAGGGTTTTGAGGCTCATTATACTAGAAATATAAAAAGGAACCACCAAAACAGCATAGGTAAATTTAAGGCCACTATATAACCTATATTATGCTCGGAGACCTGTAGTTCTGGTTCAAGCCTAAGCCGCAAATCCCGAAGCCTACTGGCCTACACATTGGTGATACCCATCCTACATCCCCTAAACCTGCCGTTTAGGCAACTTGAGCCCTATATGGTTTAGGGTTGTTTCGGGTTTAGGGTTTAGGGTATAGGACAAGCTCGCTCTCCACCTCCACGTACTGAGGGCCCCGCGCATATGTCTGGATGGGCAGGTTCTGCGGGAAGTGAGGCTCTACCTTCCAAGGTTTGCAGGGACATGAAGCAGGCTGCAGTCGAAGCACGCGCTATGCTGTAGAAGAGACATATATAGCATAACGGACATAAGGTATAATGTTGCATAAGATGATAACCTAGTATAGCGTCATGTAATACAAAAACACAATGCAGCCTAGCATGACACAGTACGCTGTTAATACAATTCTGGCTGCTCGGGCCATCGCATGGGCTAAGCAGTCAACTAGCAGCATCGTGATGAACAATTCCATAGCAGCTGAACCCCGCGCCGTGCCTGTGGAGGTGGGTCAGCCGGCATGTAGCCATCTGCCTGAAAGCCAGTGCTAGACGATTTGACGTGTTTGGGATGGCAGATGATGGGCCCTAAACCCTAAACCCTAAACCCTAAACTCTAAACCGTGGGCCCTGCTTTGCAAACACGAAGCACTGAGGGGTATCAGACCACGGCCTACACAGCATGCTTTGGCAAAGACTTCCGCATAACACACCTATGTCTTCCCCTTCAATGCAGCGCAAGGGTAATATTAGGCCATGATATTTCCCTCGTATACGCCGTATACGCACTTCAATGCAAGAATACAGATTCGGCGTGGTTGATGGAAGAACTAAAACATAAGGACGCCTCAAGAATAGTATTCCTAAACAGTCAGGCTTATAAACCATTCAGGAACTGTGGCTGTAAGTCAGGGGGTTCAATCCAGTCTGAACAGACGTCGATGACACAGAGGATCCCGAAAAAGGGATCCTCAACTTAAGCCCCATCGCATAAGCCCTGAACCACACCGGGCACCGAAGCCCGATAAACCCTAAACACTAAGCTTAAATTCCAAACCCTCCCTGCCAAAAACAAACACAAGAAACAAACATTGATGATGACACTCACCACCGTCATCAACATCATCATCAAACTATAAGACTTTGACGCACAAATCGTCATGAACATTGAGCCTTAAACCCTACACACTCAGCTCCCAACCCCTAATCAAACCCATAACCCGTATACCTAAACCGATAGCCCCAACTCTAAACCCTAAAATCTTTACTCTGAACCCCCAACTCTAAACCCAAAAACCCTATAACCCTAAACCCGTAAAACCTAAGTCCTTAAACATCAGAATCATCATCATCGTCATCGTCATCATCAGCAAGCCCTAAACCCTAAACCCCTGTAACCCTGAACCCTACTCATAATCATTCTATATTCTAAACCCCAGAACCATCATCATCATCATCATCAACATCATCATCATCATTCATGAACTCTAAACCCTAAGCCCTAAATCGTAGTCATCATAATTCAAGGAGGCCTGGATCTCGAAGCAGAGCTCCTCCGCAGGATGGCCATCCTGGCACATTATACGAACGATCTAGGGTTCCCTTATAAAAGGTTTAGGGTTTAGGGTTTAAGGTTTAGGGTTTAGGGTTTTGGGGTTTAGGGTTTAGGGTTTTAGGGTTTAGGGTTTGGGGGTTTAGGGTTTAGGGTTTGGGGGGTTTAGGGATCCTTTACAGTAAACCTTAAAAAGTTGGAAACCGGATTAAGGACAATTAGTGCTGGGATTTCCTATACATTACTCTTTGGGAGTGAGGCAATTGGGCTTCCAACTTTTGGGCTTCTACTGTAAGCCCTCAACCTAGATAATCGTTATGGCAGATATTAACCCAAAAACGGCGAAACCCTAAACCCCTGTTTACTAATCCCTGAACTCGAAATCGCTTCCTTGAGCCAGGATCCCTCCTTCACGGCTCTTAATAAGGAACTTAGTTTAGCTTACCATTTAAGCGCTGCTTTCGGGGTTCATTTAAGGGATCTACAGGGGTTCCTTTACGGGTTTCGGGTTTGCAAATAGGGATCTATATTGACTTTTTACGGTTTCCTTTCTACAGCAGCTTAAACTAAATCCCTTAGCAAGAATCCTAAACTCTAAGCCCTAAACCCTAAACCCTAAGCCCTGGTCCTTCAGCATCTCCACGCGGACCGGGCAGGCGTACCTCTTGGCCTCGAGAAAGGGAGCCGAGGATTCGGGACGTGTGGGGTTTCGGGTTTGGAATGAAAAGTCTAGGGTTTAGAGTTGGGGGTTGAGGTGTAGACCAAAGGGTCTAGGGTTTAGAGTTGGGGGTTGAGGTGTAGACCAAAGGGTCTAGGGTTTAGAGTTGGGGGTTGGGGTGTAGAAAAGGGTCTAGGGTTTAGAGTTGGGGGTTGAGGTGTAGACCAAAGGGTCTGGGGTTTAGAGTTGGGGGTTGAGGTGTAGAGTTAAGGGTCTGGGGTTTAGAGTTGGGGGTTGAGGTGTAGACCAAAGGGTCTAGGGTTTAGAGTTGGGGGTTGAGGTGTAGACCAAAGGGTCTAGGGTTTAGAGTTGGGGGTTGAGGTGTAGACCAAAGGGTCTAGGGTTTAGAGTTGGGGGTTGAGGTGTAGACCAAAGGGTCTAGGGTTTAGAGTTGGGGGTTGAGGTGTAGACCAAAGGGTCTAGGGTTTAGAGTTGGGGGGTGAGGTGTAGACCAAAGGGTCTAGGGTTTAGAGTTGGGGGGTGAGGTGTAGACCAAAGGGTCTAGGGTTTAGAGTTGGGGGTTGAGGTGTGACAAAGGGTTAGGTTTAGGTTGGGGGTTTTGAGGTGTCGACAAAGGGTTCTCGGGTTTAGCAGTTGGGTTGAGGTGTTAGACCAAAGGGTCTAGGGTCTAGAGGTTGGGGGTTGAGGTGTAGACCAAAGGGTCTGGGTGTTAGAGTTTGGGGTTGAGGTGTAGACCAAAGGGTAGGGTTTAGAGTTTGGGGTTGAGGTGTAGACCAAAGGGTTTCTAGGGTTTAGAGTTGGGGGTGGAGGTGTAGACCAAAGGGTCTAGGGTTAAGAGTGGGGGGTGAGGGTAGACCAAAGGGTCCTATGGTTTTAGAGTTGGGGGTTGAGGTTTGACCAAAGGGTCTAGGTTTAGAGTTGGGGGTGAGGTGTAGACCAAAGGTTCTAGGGTTTGTTTTTTAGAGTTGGGGGTTGGAGGTGTAGGACCAAAGGGCTCTAGCGGTTTAGAGTGGGGGTTGGGAGTGTAAAGTGAAAGGGTCTAGGGTTAGAGTTGGGGGTTGAGGTGTAGAGTTACGGGTCGTGGGGTTTAGAGTTGGGGGTTGGGGTGGTAGAGTTAGGGGTCGGGGTTTTTTAGAGTGGGGGTTAGGTGTTAAGTTAAGGGTCTAGGTTTAGAGTTGGGGGGAGGTGTAGAGTAAGGGTGGGGGTTAGAGTTGGGGGTGAGGTGGTAGACCAAAGGGGTTAGGGTTTAGCGTTGGGGGTTAGGTGTCGACAAAGGGTCTAGGGTTTAGAGTTGGGGGTTGAGGTGTAGAGTTAGGGTCTAGGGATTTAGAGTGGGGGTTGAGTGTAGAGTATAGGGTTAGGGTAGAGTTGGGGGTGGAGGTGGTAGAGGTTAAGGGTTAGGTTTAGAGTTGGGGGGTTGAGGCGTAGAGGTAAGGTCTGGGGTGGGTTTAGAGTTGGGGGTGAGGTGTAGAGTTAGGGTCTCTAGGGTTTAGAGTGGGGGTTGAGGTGTAACGTTAAGGGTCTAGGGTTTACGAGGTTGGGGTTGAGGCGGTAGCGTTAAGGGTCTGGGGTTTAGAGTTGGGGTTGAGGTGTAAAAAGTGAAGGGTCTAGGGTTTTAGAGTTGGGGTGAGGTGTAGAGTTAAGGGGTCCACTTGGGGTTTAGGAGTTGGGGGTTGAGGGGTATGAGTGAGGGTCTAGCGGTTTGAGTGGGGGTGAGTGTAAAGTGAAGGTCTGGGGTTTTGAGTGGGGGGTGGAGGGTAGAGTTAAGGTCTGGGTGTAGAGTGGGGTTGAGGTGTTATTTAAAGTTAAGGGTTAGGGCTAGGGGTTTAGAGTTGGGGGTTGAGGTGTAGAGTTAAGGCTCTGGGGTTTAGAGTTGGGGGTTGAGGTGTAGAGTGAAGGGTCTAGGGTTTAGAGCTGGGGGTTGAGGTGTAAAGTGAAGGCTCTGGGGTTTTGAGTTGGGGGTTGAGGCGTAGAGTTAAGGGTCTGGGGTTTAGAGTTGGGGGTTGAGGTGTAAAGTTAAGGGTCTAGGGTTTAGAGTTGGGGGTTGAGGTGTAGAGTTAAGGCTCTGGGGTTTAGAGTTGGGGGTTGAGGTGTAGAGTGAAGGGTCTAGGGTTTAGAGCTGGGGGTTGAGGTGTAAAGTGAAGGCTCTGGGGTTTTGAGTTGGGGGTTGAGGCGTAGAGTTAAGGGTCTGGGGTTTAGAGTTGGGGGTTGAGGTGTAAAGTTAAGGGTCTAGGGTTTAGAGCTGGGTGTTGTAGTGTTAAGGGTCTAGGGTTTAGAGTTGGGGGTTGAGGTGTAGAGTGAAGGGTCTAGGGTTTAGAGCTGGGGGTTGAGGTGTAAAGTGAAGGCTCTGGGGTTTTGAGTTGGGGGTTGAGGCGTAGAGTTAAGGGTCTGGGGTTTAGAGTTGGGGGTTGAGGTGTAAAGTTAAGGGTCTAGGGTTTAGAGCTGGGTGTTGTAGTGTTAAGGGTCTAGGGTTTAGAGTTGGGGGTTGAGGTGTAGAGTGAAGGGTCTAGGGTTTAGAGCTGGGGGTTGAGGTGTAAAGTGAAGGCTCTGGGGTTTTGAGTTGGGGGTTGAGGCGTAGAGTTAAGGGTCTGGGGTTTAGAGTTGGGGGTTGAGGTGTAAAGTTAAGGGTCTAGGGTTTAGAGCTGGGGGTTGTAGTGTTAAGGGTCTAGGGTTTAGAGTTGGGGGTTGGATTTTCGGGTTTTGTTTTGGGTTTAGGGTTAAGGGTTTAGGCCTGAGAGGGTTCAGGGCTTAAGGTTCATAGGGCTTCGGGGTTGGGGCTAAGGGTTTAGGGCGTAAGGGCAAACTTGGGAAACTTGAATGGGAGAAACCTGACAGTACAGATAGGCACGATCATTGACAAAAATGCGTTAAGTTGCAATATCAAAGTGAATAATTATCCTAAGTCATTGTTTGTGACTGTGGTCATCGTGAATTGCTTCGAGTCACTTGAGCTTCGGTAGATGTCAGGGACTTTGGACGTTGAAACTCGCAGTGCTGCCAGTTTCGGAAGGGCGATACTGTGCATTGCAGAGATCATGTCCATAAATATCAAGTTCAGAGAAAACGTCCTACCCTGACAAGCAGAATATCAGTGACAGTTCCGCCTAGGACGAATGAGCGAAGCCACATCCCGAGCGTCCTGCCTTTCCTGACGCTGCTGCCACGACATCTTAAACTCTCAAACACCCCAAACACCTCGACCCCGAAACCCTGTACCCCATACCCCTACTGTAAGCCCTGAACCTCAAACCCCTAAACCCAAAACCCTTAAACCCCTAAACCTCCACACTTCAACCCTCAGTCACATCCGCAAGAGGCGTCCCGAGTGCCAGACCTCCAGTGGACGGAACCTTGGAGGACGGGTCTGCGGTCCGGGGACGACTCGTGGGATGACTAGGCCGATCCCAGGATTCAGTTGAGCTATCAGTATGTATGTATGTATGTATGTATGTATATATATATATGTGTATGTATATATATATATATATATATATATATTTGGGTGGTTGTCAAAATTATGGTCTCTTTTGGGGTAGCCTAAATAATAGGTGCCGTATTACAATAGGTACCCAATAAGGGACCCTAATTAGGTCCTGCCTTCTACTACTGCCGTTGCCAGCTACTTCCTGCGACGACGACGACGACGACGGCCACCACGGCGACAACCACAATGAAGGCTCACTGATGTACAAACTGGTACCTTATAGATCCCTTAAAGGAGCCCCTATAGATCCCTTAAAGGAGCCCTGATAGATCCCTTAAAGGAGCCCTTATAGATCCCTTCAAGGAGCCCTTATAGCAGCTTTTGGTGGTATCTTTCTCCTGCCTTTCAGTTGTACTTGCTGCCGAGGTTCAGGTTGCTAGTGCTAGCTCTACGGATGCCTTTCAACTACTACTACTACTACTACTACTACTACTACTACTACTACTACTACTACTACTACTACTACTCCTGCTGCTGCTGCTACTACTACTACTGCTGCTGCTGCTGCTACTACTACTACTACTACTACTACTACTACTACTACTACTACTACTACTACTACTACTACTACTACAAGCATCTCGGCCGACGAGGTGTCTGGAGGACACATGTCTGTGTAGCTGTGGCGGCACCGTGCTCTTGTGAAAACCGCGAATTTCCGGTACCCGCCCATGGCAATAACTGTTTTCGCTGCTCTTACGATATGTCTGCTTGGCTGGAGCGAGGCCTTGACCTTAGGGTGCGGCAGCTGGATGAACGATGGCTGCCAACGCCCAACAAAATGTGGGCGACACCGGAAAGGGAATACGCGAGAGTGCTCTTCAGCCTGCCGTGTCACCGACGACACTTTTTACTGGCAATCGAAGCTGCTATGCTCTCTGAATCCACTGGCTACGTATCCAATTTGGATTTCTTTACTAGATGGTCCATGCACTGGAACGACCGACAGCATCCCGTGCGGGCTCTTCAGGCAGCTCGTCAATCACAGTGTCCCCCGAATGAACAGGAACTGTGGCGATGGTGCAGATTGCACTACCCGGACCTACTGCCTGAAATCTGGCCGTTGGGCGAGCCGCCCACCAAGCGCCACCCCGCACACGTGGCCCTCGAAACCATGGACTGATAGGTTGGTGGTTTGTGAGGCTGGATGCAACTCTATAAGGCCCCTTCGTCCTATACCTTCAACCCTCTGCATAGGGAAAAGGGGACGCCGATGGAGACAGCGACCCACCATCTCGAGACCCAGGCGCCGTATCAGACGTCGGGCTAAGAGCAAATGCCATGGTCTGGTCTCTAGGCTCTGGCATGCCGCTCTCCGACAGTGCAACATGCAGTGCTCCACCCTTGCTTGTTGGACGCATGTGCTCAGACGCTGCAGTAGTCTGTTCTGCCGACATGCCTTGGCTATGCACTTTTGGCAAAACTGGCCGTACTTCTGCAGGGCTCAAGCTGCGGCGCCACAAGAGAGGGGTCACATCTCAGGTGCGAGGTCTGACATGTCGGACCCGACGTCGTTTTCGGAAGATGAGACACATACCCCACGGGGAACGAGATTGCCTGCTGGCCCCCCTCCACCACGACCAGTTCAAGCTGATCAAGAATGGAGCCACCGCCTCTCCAACTCGATTGCGGGGGCTCTCCAGCAGCATGGCCTGCCAATCACTCGCATACTCACGATCATCCCGCCTGGCCTCGAGGAGCTGTCAAGCATCCGAGTGGATATTGTGAGACTCGGGAGTCATTTGGCTCATCACCACCCCAACACGCTGTGGCTGGATGAAGTAGATGCAGGAGATGGAGGGCCACGCGCTGGTGAGGAGGCATGGGATGACACGACAGAGCCTACTGCAGCAGCAACCATTGCTGCAGATATGGACCGAACAGGACGCACCATGATGACAAGTGCCGAGGTGAGCCACCTCACCACGGTCGATCGAATGCAGGAAGCCATCCGGGATCTTGAAGCCACAGATGAGGAAGATGAGACCATGGCTACCGAGGAGATCGACATCAGTGGGCCTGGCACCTCTTCCTCGGCGTGGGTATCCTCGACGGCTTTGGCAGCAGCTCCCGTCGGGCCATGGCACATCCCCTCGACTACTTCGGTCTCTGCATCCGCCAAACCAAAGGCGAAGCCCAAGAACAATCGGAAGCAAGCGCCTCAATTGATAGCGAATACCTGTACTAATGTGGTCGCTAGGGGTGCTAGGGTCTTGGGCTGTAACGTACCCCTCGACACCTGCCGAGGAGACGTCACCAAGCCAGTGCTTCTGAGTAGGCTTGTTAGGGCAAGGAGCTTCGATGAGAGAAGCTTGGCCAGCCGGCCCATCTTGATCTCGATCCAGAGACGACTGAAACGCATGTGGCAAAAGACCTTTGCGAACCTGCTGACGCGCCTGCCGGGTGACCACACCACATGCCTGCATACCACACGGCTGGCCAGGTACTCTACATGCACTCTCTTGACTACCTCGGTGCATTCCTTACACAGTATGATGCAGTGGTCTGTACTAGTATGGTTGTTCGTGTGCTCGAGGGTGTTTCCATCGACGATTTTCCACAGGAGTGGACAGCACAAGCCGACGGTCCACACAGATGTCCGGTGCCAAGCAGATCCCAGACTTGCTCATCAACAAGTAGCAACACACAAAGCAGATTTTCTCACAGGTGTACCAATCCTCTCCGACTACACCACAGAAGTTGACCGCACCGGTCCCAAGTCCGGTGGTACTCACAGAAGGCGGGCTCACAACATGCTTTTGAGATTGATCGTTTTCTACGTCTGCATTGTTACAGCTCAAACAACCCAAACTGTGAGTACAGATGCGAGGGTTGACGTCGATCCCACTAGGACGTCTGGAGCCAATTTGGCGAAGCACGTGGGTGATCGGGAGGCACAACCGCCCCTTCTTAGTCGGGACATTTCCAGCTGTGCTAAGCGAACTTACAGGAGAGCCTACGCCCGCGCATGCCGAGATGGAGGATCGTACTACAAAGGCGTCTGGAGAGAACATCGATGGTATCAACATGTCCCCATTCGTACCAGAGCAATCCCGGGCGTTCCCAGGCAAGCGACCACACAGCAAACATTGCGCACTCTGTCCTGGAACGCAGGCGGGTTACATGCTCAGGTCTTTCGTGAATTGGAGACGTTTGCAGCTGATAATGCGATTGATGTATGTCTTGTTCAAGAGACCAAATGGACCTTTGATGGCAACTGGAGCACAGGACAATTCCACTTCGTGCATTCTGCTGGTGGAACCAAAGAAGACCGAGTTGGAGGACTCCTTGTGATGATCTCAGTCAAAGTGGTTCCTAAAAGCAATGACATTCAGTTTCATGCTGTACATCCGGGTCGTCTCCTACATGTACGGGTCAATCGCAGGCAGCCCATCGATATACTCAACATGTACCAGTACTCTGCCAACGATCACAAACAAACTCCTGAAAGGCGACACAAGTTTCTTCTGCGACTACGAACTACTCTCCAAGGCCTGCCCACCAGAAACACATTGATCTTGGGAGGTGATGCGAATACAACCTGCACACCACTCCCGAAGGTCTGCGGCAAATGGGTCATGCCGTCCGTGGAGGCCCACAATAAAGACTCAAGCGACTTCATGGCTATACTGTCTGTACATTCGCTCACAGTTCTTAACTCTTGGGGTCGACCCGCGCACAGGCAGCTCGCAACCTTCACGTTCGGTGACCTGGCTTCCCAAATCGACTACATTATCTGCCGGCAGGACCAAGCCACCCACAAGGCCAAGCAGGCAGCAGTGCTGCCACAATTCCCAGTCGCGGCATGGAGAGATGGAGCAAAGCATCATCCGGTGCTTGCACAGGTCACGGTGCCGGCACACCAATGGCCCAAGGCTCCTTCTACATCCTTGCCCAAATTTGATACTCAGCAGCTCATCCTTGATATCAGGATGCCTCAACCACCTCCTGCTCTACAAGCACTTCGCGCGGATGTTGCACACCGTCTACAAAAGGCGGCATGGGACAACATTTCACAACTAGAACAAGGTCTTCTCACCCTGGCCAAGGAGCATTATCCTGTACAAGCTCCGACTGCTTCTACACCCACCGAGGCAGACGTGAAGCTAGCCAATTGCGCCCGTCACATGTGGGCTGTGTTCAGGAACATGCGATCTCACACCTTCACGGCCCAAGGCCTTGTCACGGCTTGGAGGCAGTGGGCGATCTTCTCCAAAGCACATCGTGAACACAAGCGACGAGCTAAGGCCAAAAGCAAAGAAAGAAAATACGAGCTACTCCGTCAAGCTCAAGAAGCAGCCCAACAGGGCAACATGCACCAGGTCTGGCTCGTGGTGAAAACCTTGGCCCCCAAAAGCAAGAGAAAGCCACTGCAATTGCACAAGGATGGACACATCATGACGCCCCAAGCCGAGCTGGACTGGATCATCGAGGAGTTCGGGACCAGGTACGGAGCTCGCTCACCACCTACTGTTGGAAAAATCCGCGAGCATCCCCCACTTCAAATTCAGGACTACGAGATCTGGCATCAACTCGAACATCTACCTGTCCGCAAGGCTGTCCCGCACACTGCAGCACCCTCGGTACTATGGAAAGCCTGCTCCACGGAGGTTACCTCATTCATCACCGAACAGGTCAACACGGCATGGCAACAGGAGGTTATCTCCATCGATCAGGACTGGGCGGATGCTAACGTTGCTCTTCTACCCAAACCGAAGAACAGGAACGATACACCGAGCAGCTGGAGACCAATAGGTATTCAACATCCTTTGGGAAAGGGACTCATGTCTGTGGTCATCTCCAGGGCCAAGCACCAAATTCACAACCTTGTCTACTACTACCCGCAGACGGCATATGTACCACATCGCAACACCTTCACTGCACTGAAACGTGTCTATGCTCACTGCTCTTATGTGAGGGATATGGCAGACCGACACAGGCTCACTCCACATCAACAACAAGCCGGCGTCGCCAAACTCAGCAGCAGCGGCGGACTGCAGATAAGCATGGATCTTTCATCGGCTTTCGATTTAGTTTCCTGGAGCTCAGTCCGAGAAGCACTTGAGTTGGCAGAAATCGATGCATCAATCCAAGAAATCCTGCTCCTTTGGTTAAGCCAAGTGCGATATATCTTTCGTCACAAAAATCATGAACAAGGCATTTGGCCATCATGGGGGCTACGACAAGGATGCTCCGGATCTCCTGTGCTATGGGCAGCCTTTACAGCATTGCTAGCTCGGGCAATAGACCTAAGACTTCAACAACGGTGGTGTCAGGATCATGCCACTTTATACGCGGATGACAGCCACCTCAAATGGACCTTTGTCACCATCCCAGAATTTGATCAGGCAATCAGTGAACTCCGCTGTGTACTTGCAGTCTTCAGGAGACTGGGAATGAAGGTCAACAACGACAAAACCAAGGCCATCCTCTCAGTCACAGGTCCGATCAAGCATAAGATATACAAGCTCTATGTTCGAACACAAGGCTCAGATCGAAGACTTCTTCTATCACCAGGTGATCCGGCCAAGTGGGTGTTGCTGGTGGACCAGGCAGAATACCTTGGACTCATCATCTCTTACAATCACTTCGAGAAACAATCGGTTCAACACCGACTTGCCAAGGCCAACCATCGGAGATGGGCACTGGCGCCAATTCTGCATACCAAACAGATGTCGATAGCTTACAAGCTGCAGCTGTGGCAGAGCTGCGTGCTCTCTACCATGATGTACGCTCTTCACTGCTTCTGTTTGTCACCAGGTAACATCCACTCTTTGCAGAAGACGATTATGAAACATGTCAGGGCTATCGTCTCGAACCAAGCTTTCCTAACTGGCACGACCCACGAGGAGATTCAACAGAAATATCATCTCAGGACGGCGAGCTCTCTCCTTGCCACCGCGCATAGCCGGGAACTTGATCTCGAACAACATGGTGATTGGATGATTGATTCACAATGGAACCAGGCCATCAGTCGCAGTCTTCGGCAAGCTGCTCAAACTGAGCAGCCTGAGTCAGATGCTGAACAAGAGGTCTGGGCCTGTCCAGTTTGTGCTGAACAGTTCAGCAACACAGCTGCTCTTAAAATTCACGCGAGAAGAACACACAAGCTGGTAGACAAACCCAGCAAAATCTTCGATAAAAGCAAGCATGCTCTACGAGGCTTACCACAATGTGCAGGCTGTCTACGGAAGTTCAGTCGCTGGCAGACACTGGAGCAGCACATCAACAACCACTCCTGCCCCGCTCAAGTATTGCAAGCAACCAGTACTCACAATCTCCCAGCGCATGTGCAGGCTGAATCCAATTTTCAGGATTCCCAGCCGTATGAACTCGACAAGCATGTGCAGAAGCCGAAAAGCTTGAGATCTCCTTCGTCACCACCAAACCCCCAGCCAGAGATATCTGATGTTCTTCCTGAACTGCATGGACCTCTTGCGCAGACGGCTCTTGTGCAGGATACCATGGCGAAGGGATTGAATCACTTTATACATGTACCGCACATCACCAAACATTTTCTACAGCATTGCGCTCTCTGCGGACAGTGGACTACCACGCATAAAGTCATGAAGACACACTACAAGCACTCTCATGCGGAAGTTCTACGTGATTTCCAGGGCAAAGCACAACAACTCATCACACAAAAAGCCACTCCAAGCATCACCTGCCACTTTTGTCAGCGGCGGACCAAGGACTGGAAGGCGCACTTGCATAAATGCACGGCTCTATGGCAATGTGCCATGTTGTGTGCCCGTCATCAGGATGCACGGCCTGGACCAGGATATGGAGGACTTCTTCGGGGAATATCAGGATATGGAGGCGATGCCGGGAACCATGCCCCCGACGGGTGTTCCGCCCAGGCACCCCTTCACGACTCCCAACAAGAGACGCCGAGATCCGTTCGGGACACACAGGCCCACACCCTCACCGTTTCGAGCTCCTCAGTACCACCAGGCTCCTCATTACCACCAAGGACCACATCCACCTCGAGCTCCACACAGAGACCCATTGCTCTTTACTTTGGCAAAAACGGTTCTCAGGCAGCAGGAGGAACTACAAGTCCTCCGTCAGGACACGTCCTACATACTGTTCCTCAAGGCGGGAGAGCAGTCCGTCCTAAGCCACCTCTATCAAACAGCGATCAAATTCAAGCAACAGCAGGAGGCCGACCCGGGATGGAAACTAGGACATGTACCCCTTCGGATGGTTCTTGCGGTGGCACTGTTCAAGGAGTTGATCGATCGGTTGAACCAAGTGCTGGCATCTCAGGAGAAGCTCAAAATGGTGACAGACAAAGGTTGGAGGAACGAGTCCGGTTGGCGGTTCCAACGTTGGAACCCCACCCTGAAGCATCTAGAGATAGATCAAGCTCGGAGCCCTCTGCCGGACGACCAGCTACTGGATCACTTGGCCACCATTCTTCAATGTCTCAAGCATCCCATCGTGAACCGCTTCAGGTGCAAGAGGAAACTCACAGAAACAATGACGTCGCAGGCAACCTTCGTCATGGATGTCTCTCTCAGGAGTCAGTTCTCCACGACTCTTTGGGAAACTTTGCGAATTCTTCAGAACAACGCGGTCTTCCAACTCATCGCCACCAACTACAAGACGGAGACTCTCGGCCGGAGCCCAATGGAACAGCGCATTCGCGATCTGATGTATGGCCAGCAGTGAACTCTGAAGTCGCGACCTCTACTATGCGGGCCACTCAGCTTGTACTCCGCAACTCTGGCAACCAGTGCTACATGAATGCCGTAGTCCAGGTTATCACATGGCTGCTTGAGAAGCTGGGAAGCGATGGTCTTTCCACGGGGAATGATGCTGACAGCTTCTTCCTCAGTGTTCTTCATAGGGAATTGAGTATGCCGGTTACTCTGCTTCACAACCACAGGTGGCAGCTGCTGCTGGATGGCTGGGGGGAGGTGCATCAACAACACGATGTGTGTGAATTCTTCGCTCACCTCACGAAACGATCAGACTTTGGTCTATTTGCAGGCTCATGGTTGGCAAGGACGCCCATCATGGCTGGGACTTTCCATCAGCTGGATGTGGGGTTATGCGCTCAGCCCATCATACTGCATTTGCCACAGCCTTCTCGGAATGCTCCTCCACCAAGGGTGCAACATCTGGTTGATGAATGGCATCGTTGCATCGATCGTATACATGGTTTGCACATTGCGCCCCTTTCCATTCTCTTTCAGTTGCATCGCTTTGATCAAAGACGCGGTCGCATCACCAAGAATCACATACAGGTACGTCTTGACAACACTCTACGAGTACCTGTTCTACGGGGACCCAGGTCGGAGATTCATCATGTTGAATATGATCTGTGCGCCTTTATCGAGCATCATGGCAATTTGCCTACGGCGGGACATTACACAGCTACCCTGATCCAGGATGGATTTTGGAGCTGCAATGACGGCAGAGTAGCTCAATGGCGGAGCCAATTGACCACGGGTCAATGCAAATCATGCTACGCTCTCTTTTATTGCTTACGCAAAGCTCCGCCTGAGAGCTCATGATAGTTTGCTGGCCACTGGGCATCACGCATGCTTTTGGTTCTTCGGAACGGTGTGTGATGCTGTCCGACGTTCTGAGGTGATCACAAGATCACGAACCTAAGGTTCCGGGCTCTTTAAAGCAGTCTGCTCTTTCCCGACGCTAGGCAGACGGACTCCTCTGCTGCGTGCAAAGCTCAAAAGCTACTACTACTACTACTACTACTACTACTACTACTACTACTACTACTACTACTACTACTACTACTACTACTACTACTACTACTACTACTACTACTTGTCTTGATGACAAGAAGTGATGGTGAAGACTATGGCGCCGGTGGTGATTCAGCGGCGAGGGCGACAATAACCACCGTAGTTGCTGACTGCTGATGCTCTCGAGCTAGTGCTTCTTACCCTGATACACGCATTGCCAAGTCTTGCGAGGGTTCGTTTAACATAGACGGCGGGGGACCTATGGTTCGGCTCATGTTCTGAGAATCAACCGTCCCTGCGTCCCTTTCTGAAGGCTTCCGACCGGTGAGCACTGAAAAGGCACAAATGATTTCCTCTACAGTATGCAGAACCGTGCCAATTACACACTGCATCTATTTTTCAGAATACCCTGGCCTCCATTCCCTAACCCCTTTATCTCTCAACCCCAAACCCCTAAAGCCTGTTTTTGCTTGCATGCTCATCTCTGCTGCGCTCCAAGCCCGTATAGCGAATCCAAGACTGGTGCCGCCCAGATGCGTGAAGTGCAGGAACGTTGAGCTCTGGGGTGGCAACGTTCCCTCCAGTGGTGTGACAGACAAGACCTCGGACGGTGCAGCATCATTGCAAATTGGAACTGCGAAGGGTCTTTGCTACAACTTGTCACTCAAACGGCTACAGTAAGCCTACTTTTATCCTCTTCGTCGCGTACGTCACGTGACACGCAAAAATCCTCAACCATACCTGAACTTGAGCGTTCGGGCTTCAAGTTCAGCATCTGGGATGTTGAGGTTTCAGGTATATGCACAGCTGAAAGGTCTAGGCTTCAGCGTTCAGTGCCTTACCCTAAGGGTCCAAGTAGTCCCTATTTATGGTTTTTGGTACCTGATAAGGCCCTAAAGTCCTATAATAGGGAGTACTTGGACCCTCTGGGTTACGGTTTAGGGTTTACGTTTCGGGCAAAATAGTGTCGCTAATTATCTTGGGGTATATTATACTATAACCATAATAAGGAACCCCCAAAATAGTATAGGTAGGTATTAAGTGCTCAGGGCCTTACGGTTTAGGGTTTTCGGGTTCGGGCACCGGACCGGAAGAGTTCAGGCTTTGCTCAAAGATTCGGAGTCCTCGGGGCTACTCGAAAGTACTGGAAGTCCCAGAGGGTCCAAGTATCATTATGGTATATATTCATAGGGTATTTTGGGTATCATTATGGTATATATTTATAGGGTATTTTGGGTATCACTATGGTATACCCCAAATACCCTATAAGTATATACCATAGTGATACTTGGACCCTCTGGGAGAAGGTTGTGGGGTTTGAGCGGCTTAGGAGGTTTAGGGTTTACGGCTCAGGCGGTTTATGCAGGCAGTAGCTGCGGACGGTGTGGGTGAGATACATGCAAGGATCTCTACAGCGGCCTATGGGTAAATTAAAATGCACTCCTGAGCAGCATGCTTCCCGCCCTTCGAGCGCATGTAAGCATTCGATACAAGAGTGAGGTTTATAGGGTTCCCTGGAAGAACGAAGACGCACTCCCGCCTTTAAACATCGACGATCCCTCCTTGAAACGAGACTTCCAGAACTCAGAACTGCCCCAAACCTCATCTCCTGCACCCAAAACCCGGAAAATTCCTAGACCCCTGAGCCCTGCACCCGAAACCCAAGACGGCAAGCGCTGAGCAAGAAAGAACAACGAGTTCTCCTTACTTGGACCCGTGCTTCAAAGTCGTAGTTCTCCGCATTGTGCCGCAGCAAGGTCGAGAGGTCTACACCTTCTGGGTTCTTGTTAAGGAACTTAAGTTACCATAATAAGGAAACCCTATTATTTACGATAGATCCCTATTATGGGCCTTGCTCGCACGGAAAGTTTTGAGGCCTGCGTGAGGCGTTAGGGCCCTAGGGCCTTCGAGCTTCAGGCTTTAGGCCTTTAGGGCTTTGGGAATCGTGGCCTTAGGGCTTCTATAGGGCTCTAGTTTGAGGCCTTAGGGCTTGCAAGGGATCAGTTTCAGAGCTTAGGATCTCGCCTCCGACCGAAACGAGAAGACTGAAGCCCTGAAGCCTAAACTCCAAAATCGAACCGCCAAAACCCTAAACCCCAAGTTGTTTTTTGGGGGGGGCTCCTTTTTCCAACTGATCCGCGAGGTCTGGGGTTTAGGGTTTAGGGTCCTATAACCCAAGACTCTAAACACAGAAAGCCTAAACCGGAATCTTGCAACTGAAATGTAAAGCCGAAACTAGTCCTGGAAAAACTAGAAGCCTAATTCCGAACCTACACCCCTAATCTGAAAACCCGAAGCCTAAACCAATCGACCACGAGTCCATGGGTGCAGGTTCAAACCACTCCTTACAGATTAGGGCTTACGATTTTGAGTGTTTAGGGTTGCGGGCTTGGGGTTTAGGTTTGAGGGCTTTGGGGAAAAAAGCGTGTACCGAGCCTCCGATTATTTTTCGAAGCCATGCGCAAGCCCGGGCAAGACCCGAAAAGAAGGACAATCTGAACGGCGCCTGGAAAGCAGATTGGAAGCTAACCAGTACCCTCGGTGAGGTTGTCTACTTTAACGCTGCTATCCCCGGGTGAGGTTGTCCACTATGCCGCTTCTATAACCAGCTTCCATCGGCCCGCAAAGTAAGGAAACAAATGACGCAACTTGCCAAGCCCTGTGTTTCCTCATGTTACCGCTATACAAACCGACAAAGCACCCCTACAAAGCGCTTGTATACCCTTGTAAGGCCCGGTAAGATGCCCAAAGCAAAACCTGAGTAAGAGACTGCTAAACCCTGCATCTTACAAACCCTACACCCGCTTGGGCCCCCGGACGCCATGGTGCGGGGACACCTCCGGAGTTTGTGAGCTCGACAGGCTGCACCACGCCTTGCTCCACACCTGCAGCGACGATGTATAATACTACAGACCCCAACATCACGGGTGTTCGTCACCACGAAGCAGGCAGCATCTGCACTAGGACTTATGCCTGCATGGTTGAAGTGTACTGAGCATTGCCCTAAGGTCCGGGTATAGGGTCTGGACACACTGAACACTCAAGACTCTGTTAGACACTTCAGCGCGGGCCCGCTTTGCAAGCCTGTGAACCCTCAACCCTGAACCCGAGAAACCCATACAAACCCATAGAAACCCTGTCTGGCGACCGCATGAAATCCTTACCAAAAAAACACATCTGACCAAACCGGCTCCCTTGTCGCACCTAGAGGCACTGGCTGGAGTGACACGACCGACGAACGCACCGACAGGCACCCAACCTGGCACACTGAGCTTAATTGCGTAATATACGGGCCTAAATAAGTACTAATACTATTTTGGGGGTTCCTTTTAAGGGCTCCTTAAAGGGGTCTATAAGGGATCTATAGTAGGGTTCTATCATATAGGGGCCTAAATAATTACCTATACTGGTTCCTTACTCTAGTTATAGTTTAATGAGCTCTCAAACCCTGTTCGAATTATTAAGGCCCCTATACGAAGGGATCGGGGCTGCATCGGGCTTTACAAGTTGGGATTGCATAGATGTCAAGCTTACTTACAGGACTCCGAAAACGCAGTCCGAGGGTTTTTAAATGGGGTTTTAGTAAGATATAACTTACACAGCTAGGTCCTTTCAGCATCTGAACCTACAAATATAGCCTGAAACCCAAGCTAACGTATCATGTGATGTCGCGCTGGTTTCCCAAACCCTGGGGCTAGACAGACAGAGCTGCCAAAGTGCAAAACTTGGGGCTGCCATTCGAACCAGTACCGGATGTCGAGCGATGTGCCGTTTCCGCTAGTGCACGATGCTTCAGGATCTATTCTGCGGAGATGTAAGACTGGGCGATCCAGCCGTCAAACTCTTATAATGCACGCAGCACAAGTCAATCGGCAATAGGGTGACTCCTGCGAAGTTACAACTACTTGTCAGAACCTATGCTACCTTGTTACTAACACTAACACCTTCAAACCAACACATATAAACGTCCGCTTTTCTTATCATGAAGGAGATAACATGAGAAGCCGAGAACAACATTACATGGCATCTTGCACCAGAACAACAAAAATGATATCACAGCGCAACATAGCACCATAAGACCTGAGCACCAGCACATCGCACATCTGAACCTACCCGGAGTCGCCCTGCCATTGCTGAAACATCTGCTGAGCTGAACTGAAACATGGCTGGTCCCCCCCCCCCGCCACCAACTCTAAACCCCAGCTCACGATAAGGGCCCAACACAGGAAGATCTCTAGTCTCTAGACATCATGAATCCACTCCTCCAGGAACCCTTAAGTTTGGGCCCAAACCTGGTAGAAGTCCCAGAATCCAAAACCCAGAAGTGGGCTGTAGCGCAGGCCCTCAAGAGTCCTTGTGAACAAGTGAGACCATAGACCAGATAGAAAGCATCCTACAGTTAAAGAACGATATTCCCTAACCCCCACCCCCCAAAAACCGTAAATCTCGAGACCCCTCGACCCTCAACCCTAAACCCTAGATCTCTGAAGCCCTTAACCTTAAGCCCTAGATCCCTAAACTCCCATAGATCCTAAACCCCGAAGCCGCAAAACCCAATCTGCGCCGGAGGGACGCTTGGTGCAACGCTGTGGCCCTTCAGATACAGTAGCACCGACCGGCCATCCAGCACCTAAGAGGTTTTGGGTTCAGGGTTTCAGGGTTCAGGGATCGCAATAGTAGGCACCATACTGAAGATCGATAGTAAAGAAAAGGCTTCCTTATGATGGGAACTTAACAAGAACGGGCTTCAGGACTTCAGGCTTGAAGCCCATGTCTAGCGTGCAGGGTTTTGGGGCTCAGGATTGGAGGGCTTAGTTTTTAAGGGTTTGGGTGGTTGTCAAGATTAGGGTCCCTTTTTTTATTACAGTACGGCACCTAATATTTAGGCTACCGAAAAAGGGGGCCATAAGTTTGACAAGCTACCCGTTTAGAGTTGGGGACTTACGGGTTGAGGGCTTTTCATGCCGGCTGTACCATATTACATGGGCGCAATTATTCTTACCTTTGGTTAGTAGGGAATGGAGGAATGGGGTACAAGTATAACTACTCTTACTACCATTCTTCCATTCCCTACTAACCAAAGGTAAGTATTTAGGCCCCGATATTACTACAAATGCTTCGTATATTACTGCAACTGCTTTAGGGCTTGGAATGTACCAAAGACTACTTGGAGGACCATGGGACTTAGTAAGTAAGGTTAAAAGTGGGAGTTTCCGAAAATAGGGACCTTAATGTAGGACCTTACATAGTACGATCCTTACTAGAAGGACCCCAAACTAAGGTACCCCTAGTTTTGGGAAACCCCCAAGTACCCTATTTGGAGTTATATGTATAGTTACCTCTTTTTCACCCGAGTTACTAAGTCCCATGATCCTCCAAGTAGGGTCTTGTCGACTGTGTTCGGAGTCCAGGGTTACCCTGAACCCTAGGCCCTAAACCCCTAGCACAGGGTGCTTTCGCTTAACGGCAAGCGGTAGGAACGACTAAACCCTAAAACGCCAAAACAATCCCTATAAAACCCTGAAAGACCAAGTAACACCCTATGTTTGACAAGAGTTTGGGCTCCTATGCCATCACACCTCGCACGCAGACGTGACAGCTTCTCGGAATCCCTTCAGAAAATGGACGTACTACAGGGGCCTACTTCATAGTTTGGATAGGGTTTCGGGGCCCATTAATACTGTAGTTATAACAAGGAAGCCCTACAATGGTATCGGTAACTATTTAGGCCCCGATAATACCGAAATCGTGTCAAAGTTCCGAATTCCCTACAAAGGCAAGGACAACACAAAAACAGCTGGAAGAATCCCCTCCAAACCGACCTGTGAAAAAAAAACTACCCGACCAAGACTGTTTTGCGCTGAGTACAGCTTACCCTTAGTCTCCATTGAAGTTCGTTTTGGTTTAACAAACCTTATATTTAGGATCTGTGTTAGGTAACCCACAAAAGGAATTACAATGGAGACTACACGTACTGTTTGCAAGTGTACGGTTCTAGGTCGCTCTCGGCGTTTAAAGAACTGCGTAAAGGAAGATTGGGGGTGGCAGCGGAAGAATGTCAAGTCCTGGTGTGGAGACTCAGCCGACTGCCACGACAAACAGTACCACACAAAACCGATCTATTCTCTTTCGTCGTTAGGAGCCCTGTTCCCTCCTGATCTCCTTCTCCAGGGCACATTGAAGACGACTGGGAGAATGTGCGTCCCGATGCTGTGGTGGTGGTACGTAAACTTGACCTGAGCTGCTTTACATCGCGCCTCAACAAAACCAGACTCACTAATACAGTAGACAGGTACTGCGGATCTCTGCAAACGCAAGCTGTCATGAGTCGAGCCATGACATAGCTGTCATGCGCAACTCCAACTCGAAAGAATCCACTTTCGGAGCACAGTGTCCACCCTAACCCCGGAGCCTAACGGACCGGAAAGAGCGCAGCAAACAAGTCCTGAATGTCGTAGTTTTTTGAAGATATTAGACCCACAAGCGGACTAACAATGGGAAACAGTGCTTTAGGCAATACTGAGCTCGACATGACAGATCTCTGCGTTAATCGTTAATTTGTTGGCCAAATTCCTGACAACACAAGAAGCCTGTTAATATAGGGTCGGAATAACCACAAATACTAATCGCGCTATAGTCCTCATCTACTTGTATTGGAGTATACCACAAAACCCTATTCCAGTTGTTAAAGCCCCTATAGTAATGCGAACATAGGGAGCAGAAAGGCCACTGCTGAGGTGCTAGGGTTAAGGCCTGTACCCCTGCATACCTCCTCCCTCAAACCCCGTAACAATGCAGAAACCATATAATTAGCTGCCCAAAAAGGAGCCCGTGCCTTAACTCTCTGTTTCGTGATCTGAGACCAGATGATCCGCGCTGGACGCGTCTCCAGACCACGCTGCCCCAACTCTCAGAAAAAATTCCCACGACACTCCAACCACACCACAGTAAATCACCCCACCCCAAACAAGACATCACAGATGAAAAGAACCCTAAACCCTAAACAGTTTGGACCAGACATACCTGGGCCCGCGACATGCAAGAAGTCCCCGGGCGGAATTGCGCCGCTGCGAGGCTGAATGTCATAGACACCGTGCTCCTCCACCTTAGAAGCTTAAGGTTTATAGGGCTTAGGGGTCTCCACCTTAGAAGCTCCAAGAGCTTGATTTAGGGTTTGAGGGGTTCACCTTAGTCTTAGAAGCTCCCAGAGTTTAATTTAGGGTTTAAGGGGCTTGGGGGCACCTTAATTAGAAGCTCCAAGAGTTTAATTTAGGGTTTGAAGGGTTTATGGGTCACCTTAGTGATAGAAACTCCAAGAGTTTAATTTAGGGTTTGAGGGGTTTAGGGGTCTCCACCTTAGAAGCTCCAAGAGTTTAATTTAGGGCTTGAGGGGTTTAGGGGTTAGGGCTCTACTTAGTCTTAGAAGCTCCAAGAGCTTAATTTAGGGTTTGAGGGGATGAGGGCTCTACTTGGAGGGTCGGGGGACTTAGTAACTGGTTATTTTTGGGACTTATAAGTACCATAACCCCAATTAGGGTCCCTTTTAGGGTACTTATAAGTCTACTTACTATCTACTGACTAAGTCCCCCGACCCTCCAAGTAGGCTTCTGTGCAGGCTCTTTACAATGGTGTTTTAAGGTTCCGGCCCAGCTGAAATGTGCCTCGCGCTCATCCACGAGGGCCTTCTCGTCGCACCTGCGTTTTCGTGTCTTACTTTGGGGGTTTGGGGGTGTAGGGTTTAGGGTTTGGAGATGAGGGTTCTGGGCTAAAGGTTGAAAGTCTTGCTCCTGTTTAAGGCCTGCAGGATCGCAAGCAGGCGCTATAGAATGCTGGCAGACAAAAGAGCGAATGTCCCGCCACACCTTGGAAGAATAGCAGAAAACAAGAGCAATGAATACCGGACCCCCCCGAACCCCACACCCCGAACCGAGGGCTCACCAGTACGGGACGTTCTCCAGATTCAAGTTCTCTGGCGTCTGGAAGGAAAACCTCGGCTGCAGAGACTACAGCATGCCGAGCTTAGACTGGGAAGAGGTTTAGGGCTTTGGGGGTTTAGGGTTTAGGATTTAGGGTTTAGGGCTTAGGGTTTAGGGTTTAGGGTTTAGGGTGTTTAGGGTTTAGGGTTTAGGTGCAAAACAGCAATACTTATCATAAGCAATCGTATCGGTACTAACAGTACTAAAAGATACCCTGAACCCCAAACCTTCACAGTTGCCAAAAGCAGACATGGCGGCAAGAGTGGCAGCAGAGCCTTAAACCCCAACGCCCCAAAAAAAGGTTGGACCTTAATACCTTAAGACCCTTGAAGCTCAAAGCAATTACGCTATGGCAATGCTTAAACTCTAGTTGCATTTTGCTATGAAATAATCTGGGAATCATGGTAAACTCTAGCTGCATGTTGTTCTGAAATCGCATGGTAATCAGAGGGTGTAGTTATAAGGGATAGCATATTGTTGGGAAACACTCCCAAAACCCACTAGCAACAACCAGACAGCAAACCCTGACCTAAACCCCAAACTCCGGAAGCTCTTTTTGTCTATCTGTCTAGCTACCTATCTAACTTGTGCATCTGCCTGACAGTAACAAGCACTACTAGTGCTATTGCTACTGGTCTTGGTATCGCTGTGCTTGGGTCTGCGTATGGGCTTGCTTGGTCCTTGCTCATGGGGCCTTGATCTTGGTCTGGGACCTGGCACTAGTGCTGGAATGAGTAAGAGTATGAATTCCGTCAGTATTCGAGTTAGTATTAGTATTATAGTGGCCACTATAGCATGGATTCGTACTAGTATTAATACTAGTACAAGTACTCGTATTGGTATGAGTATGGGTTCGCATTAGTATGAGTATGGGTATGTTTGCGAGTAAGTAGTAACTAGTCCTGCATGCATGTGGGTGGTTGTCAAAATTAGGGTCCCTCTTTGTGTACCCTAAATATTAGGCGCCGTATTAAATTAATGAGCCAAAAAGGGACCCTAATTTTGTCAACCACCCATATACTACGTATATTATAGTATTATAGTATACAACAGTATACTATAGCATATTAGAATTTATTAATCCTGTATGCATGTGCACTGGGTCCCCAGGCCGGATCGGCAGGTAGCCAGGATTGGACAAGGCCAAGTACACGACTGTCGGGCCTCGGGGCTTTAGGGTTTAGGGTTTAGGGGGTCCTTGAGGGCTCCGGTTCAGGATTTCACGGTTCCCGGGTTTACCTTTGGGATTACGGGCTATATTCAACACACGGAACAAGGAATAAGGACTAAAGGAGCCGAAAGAGACGCTTAGAGTAGAGTTGAGCGCAGGGTACTTCGGCAGAAAAGCTTCGACTCGACGCAGTGATATCTGGCTGCCTAAACACTGAAGCATAATCGTCCCTAAGCACGACTATATCCCCGCAGCCCTAACGCCTCCAAGCGACGGGATCGTCACTACTGGATCAATCGACGGATGAAGTGGGTTGCAAGTAGAGCTATGAATAAAATAGAAAACCAAATACCAAAAAACTAGGAACAAAATTAAAATAATGTAGAAAACCCAAAAGCTTAGAATAGCTTTATGAGGGGATTCGGTACACGATGATTCAAGCCAAACCGTGAGGACTCGACCTGAAAAACTAAACCCTGAACCCTGGACCCTACCTACCCTTACCCGAAGGGTCAAAGTACCTCTGATAATCATATACTCTCCCAAACCCTAAACCTACATGTCTACTATCATACTAAAGCCAAGTATCTAATTTTATTTGGTCCTTTGGACCCTTAGGGTTATAGCCATAGTACGTACCGCTGTTCGGAACCATAAGGGGCTCTATGAAAGGGCCCTGAGGGCGTCTCGGTACCCCAAACCCCGAACAGCCAACCCTGAACCCCAAATAGTAGGCCCTAACATAGGGGCCTTGATAATTAAGATAAGGGGGTTGGTGCCCATTATACTACAAGTATAATAAGGAACCCTCAAAATAGCATTGGCAATTACTAGGGCCCCTATACCATAGAACCCTACTATAGATCCCTTCTAGAAACCCTTAGTCCACCCCGTTAAACGAACCCTAATGAACCCTAGGAACCTTGTATAGTAGGCCCTAACAACTCTAAACCTTAAACCCCTTTATAGCATGCCCCAACATCCTTCTCAGGGATCCCGGCCCGACTCCACCGCGGCCGTGCCGAAGAGCAGCTGGAAGGGCTTCAGCTGCCTGGGCGCGGTAGCGTTCGAAAGATGGTGAAAGAGTTTAGGGTTTAGGATTTAGGGGTTTAGGGGTTAGGGTTTAGGGGTTTAGGGGTTAGGGTTTAGGGGTTTAGGCGGTTGACGGTTCGGGGTGTAGAGTGTAGGGTTTTTAGGGATACGGTGTTCGACTTGTGCGTTTAGGGCTGCAGGTTTCACAGCTCAGAGGTTCGGGTGTTGAGAGCAGAAATTGGATTGTGGCATTCCAAATCCACGATGTAGGGCTCGTTAGGCAGGGATTCAGATTTGGAGGAAGAGTTACCATAAACTCCAAAAACTCTGGTTTAAGGAATAATCCTTGAAGCATATGTTGAAAACCCTGCTTACTGCAGGAGTTTCGGGGAACGCAATGCAAGTGTTGTTTCATAAGGGTCCATGAAAGCTTGGAAAAATTCTTGGACGACTAAGCCGTACGGTTGGAGTTGAGGGTTTAGGTTTAGGGCTTCGGGCTGAGGGCTTAGGGTCTAAGCCTAAACAAAAACATTCGATATCCTCGAACCGTGCTACAGGGCTAAAGTCCTGGACCTCAGGAGCGTAGGAATGTATCCAAGATTGGTGCGGCGATCCCTGTTCTGATTGACATTCCTGTGTTGAGACCTCTGCGAATCCTACAGCGCCGACATTGCAACTTGTGAGTTGTTTTTTGATAAAAACAATAAAACAATTAACAGTTTTTGTTTTTATAAAAACAATTCATAAACCCTGAAACCCCAAAATCCTGAACCTTCGACCCTTAACCCCAGACCGTAGATTTTAAGCCCTGGGCCCAGCCTGGACCTAGACTCTTAGACCCTGAACCCTAAACCCTAAACCCTTAACCTTAAACCCTAAACCCTAAACTCTACACCCAAAGCCCTAAACCCTAAACCCTAAACCCAAAGCCCAAAGGCCCAGCCTAACCAGTCGCTTCTTGTCATCGATGCCGATCGCGGCCTGCGTAGCCCACACATTCCGAAGGCCAGAGCCGAACAATGCTAAGGGTTTAGGGTTTTGGGGTTTGGGGTTTAGGTTTTAGGGGTTTAGGCTTTAGGGGTTTAGGGTTTAGGGGTTTAGGCTTTAGGCGTTTAGGGGCTTGGGGTTTAGAGTTTAGGGGTTTAGGGTTTAGGGGTTTAGGGGTTTAGGGTTTAGGGGTTTAGGGTTCAGGGTTTAGGGGTTTAGGGTTTGGGGGTGTTTAGGGTGGAGGGTTTAGGGTTTAGGGTTGAGGAGCTAAAAACCCACCGCCTGCAACTTTAAATCCGGGTGAAATCAAGATCTCACCTTAAACCTGAGGAGCCCTAGACTCGAAACCTTAAACCTGAGGAGCCCTAGACTCTAAACCATGAAGCCCTAAACCTGAGGAACCCTAAACCCCTATATAAACCAGAAACTCGAAACCCTAAAACCTAGGCCCTAGACTCTAAACCATGAAGCCCTAAACCCCTACACCAGAAACTCGAAACCCCGCAAACCCTGACCCCAAAACAACCATTCCCGTACAGCCAGAAGTCTGGTGATCCCCTAGAGCACCCTGGCTCTAAGCCTCGGGCCGTTGAGGGTTTGGGGTTTAGAAGACTACGGCCTAAGGCTTTGGAGGGGTTGCGGAGTTCGGGTGTTTTTGCCTGTTGCTTGAAGGCGGAGCTTTGGCTTACCTGATTACAATACTATTTTGGCGGTTCCTCACTATACGATACTATGTATAGTATCGTACATTATAGTATATCTATCCATCCTATTCTAGTTGTGACCAGTATTAGTAGAGTTCCGGGTTCGGACTTTTCGGCTCAGGGTGTAGATACCTCAGGATGGGGTCTGCCCAACGTCAATCGATGCCGCGAACCCCAGGTCTTACCATAGGGCCTGATTACAGTAGTAGTAGTAGTCGTCGTCGTCGTAGTAGTAGTAGTAGTAGAAGGAGTAGTAGTAGTAGTAGTAGTAGTAGTAGTAGTAGTAGTAGTAGTAGTAGTAGTAGTAGTAGTAGTAGTAGTAGTAGTAGTAGTAGTAGTAGTACTAGTACTAGTACTAGTACTAGTACTAGTACTAGTAGTAGTAGTAGTAGTAGTAGTAGTCGTCGTTGTCGTCGTCATCCATCACAGTATTCTACTGCCAGACTCTTAGCCCGGTTGCCCTACAGAGCTCCAAGAATCTTCGGGCTGCGACAATGACAATGCACTCAAGACAGAAGGCTTCTACTAGTAGTAATAGTACTAATGGTAGCACTAGTAGTAATAGTAGTAGTAGTAGTAGTAGTAGCAGTAGTAGTAGTAGTAGGAGTAGTAGTAGTAGTAGGAGTAGTAGTAGTAGTAGTAGTAGTAGTAGTAGTAGTAGTAGTAGTAGTAGTAGTAGTATAAGTAATAATAGTAATAGCAGTAATGGTAGTAGTCAAAAGGAAGACAAGGCACCCGCCCGTCTAAACCTCGGAACTCCGCTCCTTTCCGTCAAACCCATCCAGGCCTGGAATTTCCGTTCCACGTCAGCCACCTCACCCTGGTAGAGCTCGTTGATGCCATCTACCTCGAAATGAAGCGCCGAGGGGCTCCCAATGCGCCATCACTAACAAGACTAAAAAATCATACCCCTTATATAAATTGAATTGAGTCCGATTCTGTCTGGTCCAGAAGATTCTAAAGCCCGTCAAAATCTCTGAAAGCGGTACAACCATCTCAGAAGCAATGTGGCCTGGAACTGAGTCCACATCATCGACTGCGGCTGCAGCGTGGATGACCTCAGCTTCAACATCCTGAACTCTTAAACCCTTAACCGGGCCGGGATTCTGCGCCTTTGCATAGGCAAGAAACTCCTGAGCTTCCTAGAAGGCATCCCTTCCGTTGAAAGCTCATTTAAGTGATTCGGGTTTGGGGATTGGGCTTTAAAGGCTCAAGCAAGGTTATCTTTAAAACTTCAGGCAGGGTTTAGGGTTAAGGGTTTCGGGGTTGGGAGTTTCGGGTTTCGGGAACTAGAAGGGCTCTAAAAGGCCGGGGCTTTCCTCGGGTCTGCCAAACATGCCCAATGCAGGCATTCGCAACTCCACGGCAAAACCACAGCTGAGGGCCATCTCAGGACCTCGAAACCCTTATAGAGCCCTTGCAGGTCCGTAAAACCCAAAATCCCAACCTCTGGAACGCGAAACCACCACCAAAAGCCAATCTCCAGTCCTCTTCTCCATAAGGCTTGAGATTCTAGAGTTTATCTTAACCCCCCAAAAAACCGACCTCTCTAAGGACTTATATAAGGAAATCAAATTTAGGGAACCCTGAGAAGGAAGGTTTTGTAGGGTCCAGGTAAGGACTTTGGGGTTGCGGCCTTCAGGGTGAGCCGTGAAACCTAGTCTGCTGGGCCGCCCAGGGGCCTGAAATAGTAGAATAGGCTTTGGGGGCCCCCAGTATATTATGATTACAATAAGGGGCCCACAAGAAAGTATTGGTAATTCTTGAGGCCCCTATACCATAGAACCCTAATGAGGCACCCCAAGATAGTATTGGCAATTATACTAAGGCCCCTATATTAAACCCTGAAGCCCGAAACCTCGTTGCTGGGCCGCCCCTGCTCTGTCCGCAGGTCGGCGATCTGGATGTAGGGGTATTGCACCAGCGAGCACTGGCAGGCCAGCATGGGTTCAGTCTCCGGGTCTTGGGCCTACCACCGAAGAAGTAAAATTTCATTAGGGCGCTGGGGTCGACGATAGAATAAGTGCATGGGGGCGACGAGGGAAAGGTAGCAGTAAGCTTAAGTGTGAATAGGCGCTTGCTCGATGGATGCTCTCCTCTTTGCGCGTGCTGGATAGAAGCGCTGTTGCCGAAAGCCCCATGTTTTAGTCTGCTTTAGGAATTTAGAGCTGACATCTGCAGACGGAAGTTGGGAATCAAGTGTGCCTACTTGGAGGATCATGGGACGTAGTAACTAGCGTTATAAATAAAGTAACTATACTTATAATTCCAAATAGGGTACTTACAACCCTACTTACTAAGTCCCATGATCTTCCAAGCAGACCCTAAACCCTAAACCCCCCATAGATTCCTTACAGAACCCTTTAAGGACCCCCTTTAAGGAACCCCTTTAAGGAACCCAACTACCTAAGTCCCATGATCTTCCAAGTACCAGCAGATTTGCACGGCTCTCCAGGCGGACCTTCGTCAGGTTCTCTGGTTTTGTCAGGGGACATGTGGGAGATTCCGAAAACAGGGGACCCTAATCTAGTACCCCAAAGAGTAGGATCCTTCTTATAAGGATCCCCAAATAAGGTACCCCCTATTTTCGGAAACTCCCATGTCAGGCTCGAACTTATCGTGTTGATGCTTGCAGCAACATTGTCGCGCTTTATGATCCGGCACATGAAGGTCGAATGCTGGACAACCCGGAAGTTCGGAAATGGAAAGAACCCATGGGCCATGGGGTCACGAACGGATGGCCTGCCTGACTAAACTGATACGTACGTTTGAAGCTGAGAATGTAAGTATCAGTCTGTCTGACCTTATGGCTGGTCTTGCATCTAAGTCTCCATTTGTCACACCATCATAGGTTATACCGGCATACATGCATCAGCACGTTTACTGTGCGCACATAAACATATGTCAAGCAACGGAAACCGTCTGTGAATCTTCCATGCCGGTGGCACCAAGGTGAAGGTGACACTTCGACCACTGGGCTCATCAGACCCTTCGCCATGTGGTGTTACGGCCACCTGCGCGTGAGGAGGGCTTGGGAGCTTGATTGCACAAAAAATACAGTGGTTTTAGTCAGAATAGGGCATCAGGGTTTGGGGGGTATATTATATACTCTAACTACAAAAAGGAACCCTGAGGAACATCATTGATCATTGGTAGTGATTCCGACCCCGATTTTACGTACTCTCCCTGAGTATTGAGGAGGGACTTGAGGTTGCTGTTTTGTGTACTTTCATGGCATTCGCGGATGCTCGAAAAGTAGCCTTCGCACCCATCACTGTCCCGTTTTGGTGGGCGCCAGTGAACCCAGAACCCTACGCACTAAACCCCAATATGAGAGCCCAGAGTTGGAATAGAGCCTTGTTGGGGTATATTCTAGCAGACATACATAAGTTAATGCGGGCAAAGAAAGAGGAATAATTAATACTCCCAACATTTAGTCAGACCCCTAACGACAAGCCCAAAACCTCTAAACCCTAAACCCCTAAACGCTCTAAACCTTGCACCCCAATCCCCGAAAACCTCAGACTCCTTAGGTTTGAGACTCAGGGCTTCGGCTGTGCGTCACAAAGCCCATGCCTCGTAGACAAACTCTCCGCGACCTGACGCCAATGCAGAAACCAGACTTATACCAGGCTTTATTGTTGGGTTTAGGGTTTAGGGAGTACTCAAGTTTGTGCACGGGTGTTTGTAGGGTTCCACAAGTTTTCTGCAGGGTCTGCACAAGGCCTTTTGGCTTGTAACTCTTCATAGAAGATCTTTTTGGACTTTCAGGTGTCGTAAAGCTCCGGCTCTCGTGCATCAAGACCGTTTCGTGCACTGCGAAGTTGAAGATCGACCATGGGCCACCAAAAAAGTTTCAGGGTTCAGGGTTTAGGGTTTTAGGGTTCTAGGGTTTAGGGTTTAGGTTTTAGGGTTTAGGGTTTAGGGTCCGGGGAACAAGGGTCAGCCAAAGCAGCTAGAAAAACGAAAACGTTGATCCCACCTGTAGGCCAAAACCCTGCCAGACCAAAAATCCTGAACCCTAACCCCTAAACCCGAATAACTCAGCCCTAAACCCTGAAGCCAAAAGCCTAAAGCAAACAACCGAAGCCCGAAGCGGAAAGCTCGCGACTACCCCGAGTTTCGAGCAGATCGGATGGAAAGTGATATCCAGCGTCGATGTACAGCGACCTGGCATTTAGGGGTTTATGGAGTTAGGGGTTTAGGGTTTAGGGTACAGCGACCCGGCATTTACTGCCGGGAAAGTCTGGGAAGACAGTTTAGGGTTTAGGGCTTTAGGATCCGAGGTTTAGGGCTGTACTGTTATTGTGTAATCGGCCCTTCAGTGCCTTTGTTCCTCTGGGGCTTTTGCTTCATGGCTTCCGGTTTCCTGGGACTGAGTCAGGCATATAGTCATATAGGGCTTTCTAGGCTTCGCTGGGTTGGAAGGTCTACTTGGAAGGGCAGCGGACTTAGTAAGCAGGTTATAAGTAAGGTTATAATTGGGGTAACTCCATTTAGGGTACATATAACTCTACTTATAACCTACTTACTAAGTCCCCTGCCCTTCCAAGTAGGGCCTAGGGAAGATGCATTTTTGGGGGCGGTTCAAGACATCGTGAACCTACATACTGAAGCTTTCAAACCGCGCCAGAGACTCCTGCCACCGTGCCGACGGTGTGGCCCAGCTTCAACGCATCCCCCTGTAGAGGTTGTTCTGGGCGTTGAAGTAACCACGGAGACAAAAAGTATAACACTTTTTTGTGGGAATAGAGTCATGGGGCATAGTCCAGTGTAAAAGTATATATAGAGTTCGGTCCGCTTTATTTCTCTTGCTGTGGGCATGGAGTTTAGACCTGTTTAGGCTTTATGGCTTTGAAATCGGTGCTTTAGGTTGGGGGTTTAAGGCTGATTCGACCCCCTTACAGTAAGGTCCGTGTTTATATTCTACTATTTGCTTAAGAGCCCCCAAAAAATAAAAAATATATTCCTTATTGGGGTAATATAGGGATTATTTTTTTATTTTTGGGGGTTTCTTAAGCAAATAGTAGTATTAGACCCCCTGAGCCCTAAATCCGAGACCCTAAACTTCCTAAGCCCTAAACCCCAAATCCTAAGCCCTAAACTCTAAATCCTAAACCCTAAACTTCCTAAACCCTAAACCCCAAGAATCCCAGCTACTTGGAGGATCATGGGGCTTAGTAAGTAAGGTGATATGTACCCTACTTGGAGTTATAAGTATAGTCACCTTATCTATAACCCTAGTTACTAAGTCGCATGATCCTCCAAGTAGGGGCTCCCATGTTCCGAGACGTCGTGAGGGCGACTCTTCCAGGGTAAAGCCCGCTTTGAGCTGTCGCTTTCCGTGAATCTTTTCGGAACAGGTAACCCAGAGGGTCCATATATACTACCACTATGGAATTCGGTCCCAACAGACCATCCCGATTAGGGCTTTTGGCACCTACTTCCACAATAGTAGTGTATATGGACCCTCTTGGTAACGTAACATAATGGCCCCAACGCCGCATATAGTATGGTCTTTAGGCAAAAACCCTAAACCCTAAATATGAGTCCTTCGAGCCTTAGGGTTTTGGAAGAGGTAACATTACCATGAGACGGCTGAGGTTCCCGCCGCGGCAGCCGCTGCTTGGGGATCCCTGAGGCTCGTGTCTTCGAGCTGAGGCTCTCAGTTTTTTGGTTTAGGGTTTAAGGTTTAGGGTTTAGGGATATAGGGGTCTAGGGGTTTAGGGGTTTAGGGTTTAGAGGTTTAGGGGTTTAGGGACTTAGGGGTGTGGGCTGTGCGTTTAGTTTGGAAAAGAGGTGGGGAAGGTTCTAGGGCCTTTAGGGTTTACCTGGACCCTAAACCTTCGTTTTTAGAGCACCCGACTATAATTAACTTATACAAGTCCTTAAAAATGTAGGTTATTCGGGGCGCAAGTAGGGCTTAAGAGGTTGAGTGCTTCAGGGTAGAGGGTTTAGGGCTTGAGACTTCTAGGGGCTTGGGGTTTGGGGTTCAGGGCTTCGGGCTTGGGGTTTGAGGGCCTACGGCCTGAGGAGTTGATGGTATACCCCTCGACCCGAGGCCTCGTGCCGCCAGCCCCAAACCCTGATGCACAATGTTGAATTCAATTTTTCAAAAACTCCAAACCGCAACAGGACATACAAGAGGGCACGTATGCAATATGCAAGTTTCGGATTCAACTATGAGGGTTCCGTTATAAGGGTTCCTTTAAGGGTTCCTTTGGGAAGCCTTAAAGTCCGGAGTTTAGGAATGCAAACAGGGCAGCTGCTTCCATGCCCACCGCTTAGGAAGCCGGGAACAAAGCTGAGGGGTTTGGGGTTGAATCGTGCAAGTCTTCAGTTTTATGGGCGACATGATTCTTTTGGGTGGTGCCGCAGCAACTTCTAGCGATGGAGGCTTCGACGGAAAACCCCAAAGCTGACGAACAGCAGACAGAAGGTTTAGGGTTTAGGGTTTGTAGGGCTGAAGGGCTGCAAAAGCCTGAAGCCTATAACAGTGAGAGCTTGTGGCCACGAATCCCAAACTCCCCCAACCCAGAAATGGCTACCAGTTCTTTTTGCATCGCTGCAACCCGACTCCCGGCAAAACTATCCTTCGGAAGCGGAACCCTGAATACTAGACCCTACGCCCTAAACTGGAAACTCTCAACACTACAACCCCAAGCCTTGTGACGTCAAGACCGCAAGCTGCCCAATTTCTGAAGTCTTGACCCTAGGCCTTAAGCCCTCATGTTGCCCAAGGCCCGGGCGAGCCAATGAATTGAACGGTGACCACATAACGCACCTTTGCGCCATGCGCTTATATGGTTGTGGGGTATGGACTCCAGGGTCCAGGATCTAGAATTCTGGCTTTTAGAGATGAGGGTTTAGCAGGCTGGGTCTAGGCGTCACGCGCGTATGCGAAGCCATATGGAAAACCGTAAACCCTCCTTGTCCTTGAAGCCC